TTCCAGGTGTTTGCAACCAACTTTGTGCCTTTTGAGGGAGTAGAAACATAGCTGTGCTACATATTTAGGAGGATGTGTCCATAGGACTTTAGGGGAGAAATCACTTGAAACTGACAGCTCTTGCCATGTGTTCTTTGACCCAAGGCAGGCAGCAGTGGTGTCACGAGCTGCGGGCTGGAGGCGAGCGAGGTTTGCGGATGGGCTTGAGTGCTCAGACACACAAATGCCTTTAGAGAGCTCGAGCACTCGAAGCAAACCGTACCACGTATGCCTGTGGTCGGCATTGATTAGTGTTGTTTGGTGCATGCAATTCATTTTGGTTTGCAAGAAGAGACGCGTTTCCTTGGCTGTTGAATGTTTATTTGCTTTGTGTCAAGGTGGGTAAGGCGACATCACTTTGTGTTGAGCTAGGCTACGTTTTCGGCAGATGGGGTTGGTACCTTGGTCCTCCTTTGCAAACACAAGGGTTTTCTTCATCACTTGCTATTTCTAAACCTGTGGTTCCAGTCGCCATCCCCTGTGTGTGGTTAGCTCCACATTAGCAGCAGTCAGTTCACTTTGCCCTCTGCTTTGGCAGCTACACAGTACCAGAATTTATACTGTCGCTTGCTCAATTATGTGAAACGCTGGTTGGCCTGGTCACTTGACAGAGGGGCATTTGCCCTGGGGAAGTCAAATTCCTCCAGATACTGAGTTGAGGGAACAACCAGTGTCCTAAATGATTGTGTCTGGGGCTGTTAATGGCATCTACCCATGAAATGAATCATCAAATATACTAATCTGCTCTGCTGGACAGGTGAGAGGGGAGTTGGTAGAAATGAGTGATTTGGGAAGCATTTGATAAGCTAATCGGTAAACTAGGTGTGGAAAAAAAAAGCTCACATATATCTATATCTGTATGTATATATGCATAAGATACTTGTATATTTGCCTTTAACATACACATACGTACACATTAACATGTACAATTAACATAACACAAGCTGTGCTTGTGCAATTCGACAGCTGTCAAATTAGTTTTGCTCATGTAAGTGTAATGTCTATGTCATTTAATTCCCTCTTATGGAGGAGGGAAAAACTATTTTAATGATTTTATTTTATTTTTGGTCTGGTGTACCCATTTCTGCATATCAAACAGTAGTGCTTTTTGCAAAAGAATTTAGCAAGTTCTTCTTTATTCTGAAAAGCATGAGAGTAATTCAGAAAAGAATACGGCAGAGGTAACTCCCAACACATGCCACTTATTAATTTGTTTAAAATCTGGGCTTTGGAAAGCCCAGATTTGGAAAGAGACTAGAGTATCAAGATATTTCAAGTGATGTCTAGCAAGGCTGATGTAACACATTTGCAGAGGTGAGTGAAAAGATGCAAGTGATTTACGTTGAAAATCCTTTTCAGTCTAAACAAAGCATCTACAGTTGGAGCTAAATGAGGAGAGACTGTAAAGTGAGAGTTTTGACACTTGCAGGAATTATTTAGAAAGGGGAATTACGGTGCTTTGCATAAAAGGATGTTTAACCCAGAGGTGCTCTTCATCTCAACAGGAAAAGACAAAGTCTTTGGTGTCTTCTTTTATCATCTCTTGATAGGGTATCCCGTGTTATTAAAAAAAAAAAAAAGATCGGCCAGATTTTTTTTTCCCTCCCATGTGAAGAGAGTGGAAAAAGTTAAATATGGAGAGCAGAAAAGCGGAGAAAGCAGGAAAAAGGAATGCTCAAATAGTGATGTAATGGTGGACAGCAAATCACATGTGCGCTTTCTATGGGCCATGACACCAAAGCTGCCTCTGCATTTTTAAGTTGCGAGTAATGTGGCATACGTGTTAATTTGAAGGGTCTTGTCTAAATGGTTTTGTCACATTCCCTTTGGAACTTGGCTTTATTAGCTAAATTAGCGAAGTGTGATGAAGATGGTTTAAACAGATATTGCAGGGGGAAGGGAACTTACCCTTTTCAAACTAAATGGAAAAGTGTTTTATGAAAAGTAGACTATTGAAGTTACCGCCATGTGCATCTACCTGGCTTTAAGTCAGATTTTGTTTACTGCGTTTTTGAATTTACATTTTAAAAAAAGTGCAAGTTATGGCACCTGAACTTTCCTTCCACTTTATGACAACCTTGTATATTCTGCAAACTGCCCTGAATCTTTTTACCCCTTTCTAGTCTGATTGTCACCAATAAAAAATGGTTTATTGTTACCTCTTGACTATTTTATACAGTAGATCAGTGCAAGTTAAGTGGTCTAATTTATTTCAACATTTTAAGTATGCTGTGATTTCATTGCTGACTATTTGCCAAAAAAGTATCCCATGGAAATTCTTTTATCTGTTGGCTGTAAAATATAGTTCACTTAGCAGTCATTTCCCTTTCTCTTAAACAATCATGCCAGTGGTATAACACTGGCCTGGTGGGAAGGCATCAGTCTGTAGCTTATGATGTGCTATAGGAAACACTAGCAGGGTGTTATGTGATAGTTTCATATTTTAATAAAATTATGATTTGCTGAAAAGCATAATAATTGGACAGATCACATCTAGTTAACCTAATTTCTTTTAGAATTGCAGTTGGGTTTTGTCTAGTTGACTGGATTCTTSCTACCTTCTTACTCCAAGCAGCAAATATATATTGTAATTTTTCAAATATTTGTGTGCAAATGCATTTAACTTGCACAGTGAGTGAGGCAGCAGACGGGACGCTCTGTTATGCACTGAGTTTCCTAGGTACACCTTCTCTGAAGCTTGACTTCTTACTTCCAGGGGATGCTGTAGCTAACCAAACATTTTTACTGGCAAGGGAAAACATGAGTGGATGCTACTGGATATGAAGCTCTAAATACTCCATGTAGAAAGAGGCCATGTGGYAATCTTTTCCTAATGTACTTGTTGCCCTTGGGATCTGTTTCAGTAAGGAGTAGGTGACTTCTTCTCTTGACAAACCCACGCAATATCATGGCAAAATCCAGTTTTCTCACAGCACAGACAGCACATAAATCAATCTGTTGTGAGACAGCTTTGGCTAATTATTTGCCCTCTGGGGCAAATAAGGGATCCCTGGAACAAGCTGATAAAGGTTTTGTTTTTTTGGAGCCTCCTARCATGGAATGGTCGAGAGAAGACTCATTCTTGTATGTTAGTGGGCACAGTGATCACTGTAGGACCAGCAGCTTGCAGTGGAGCTGGAGTTGACGATAACTCATAGAAAAAGTCATGGAAATGCTAGGTAGAGCATACTGTTTCACTGCGTATCAGTATTTTAACTCTGTTGCTTCACAAGCTAGAATTGTGCAAATCTGACAGGATTTTTTCAAAATGGAGGATATTTCAAATACTTGAATATTCCCCAGCTACTGTGGATACTGTAAAACAGGGAAAAAAAAAAAGCCAGTTCCAAGAATTTATTTAATAATCTCTAATCCTGTGACCTAGAGAGCAAACATCTGTTGATGCTAATTTGTTGAACACAGGCTGGGTTTTAAGATGTCATAATCCTATTAGAGAGGGAGAAAGATCATGGTGTGTTTTTCCTCATTTTAAGAGCCTACTGCACCTTGGATGATAGCGTTGTCTACCTGTGTATTCATAGCGTATTGTGTGAACCTACGTGCTCAGGTCTGACTTTGCCAAGGTTGTTAAAGAAACTAAGGGACTTTACAGCCAGTTGTTCTCCTGCACCCAGTGAATTTCTTGACACTGGGCATAAGGGTTGCAAGTCTTAYGTTTTATAACTCATTTTTCTGCTCTGACTCACAGGGGTCCTATCTGAGCTATCCAAACACCAGCTGGTTTTAATGGGACGTGTAGGTGCTGATACAAGTTTTCTGTTGCGTGGATGCTGTTCGTGTCTATTGCATAGAAGCTGTTGCACTGAAGTTTGTGCTTCACACAGATCACGGCAGTATTTTATCTTTTGCAAGGACTCTTGCCTAAYATCATATTGATAAAACAGGAATGGAAGGACTATAACGATGGAGGGAGAGGGGAGGCTTTAGAGCCAAAACACCACGAGCCAGACAACAAAAACTGATGCAAATTGTTTTGAAGGATTTAAAAGTGGAAGTCAAGAATTTCCAGCCTGCTCTTGAGCCACCCTGTTGCAGGGAGCTGCTAGCAAGTGACCAGTTTCTAGGATGTCCTGCAGGGAAGCAAAGCGAGCGGCGAGGGCAAATCTGCCAGCTGAAGCTTTGCATTGAGCTGATCTCATTTTTGTCTTTGAGGCTTAAAATATTCACAGGCACTGAAACCTGATATTTATGAGCAGAGCTGGTGGGGATAAAAAGCAAGTTGCTTAAAAGGCTCCTAGCCCATCACCAACATCCCCAGCTCTACCCCACCAGCTCCATGGAGATCCAGCSCTCTGGTATTTTTAGGAGAACTAATCACCTCCGTATTTCAGCATTGTTTGAGACACATGGTAGCCTTTTACTTTGTGTTTATAACAAGTGTTTTATATATTTATAAATGAACTATTTTTTCCTTGTTTTCCAAGTAATGCCCATTAAGTTCAGTGACAAGGTGCCTCTGCAGAGATTTAGAACTTGAAGAAACAYGACTTTCTTTCAAACCTTTGTTCGGGTTTATGCCTGCATTCTGCCCCGTCTTAAGCACTGTAAATTCCACTCTGTTTTATAGGGTTCAGTGGCTATAGATGCGTGCCAAGTATCAAGACAAAGAAAGTGCAAAGGTGTAACCAAGGAGCTGACCTACATAATCCAATGGGAGCCAAGCTGTGCTCTGCGCTCGGCAAAGCACGGCCTCCCGGCACAGCTCGAACATCAGCACCTCCGATCTCATGTCACTGAGGCCCGATAAGCCCCAAACACCATGGTGACCACTGCAGAGGCTCCTAGTGAAAACTGATCTTTAACAAATATACCCACTTCAGTTTACCGGGCGCAAAGCACCCACTCCGGGTTTGATGGGTGCAGTTGTTTTAAAGCCTTCGTCGAGTCTTGCGGCCTGGCCTAGAAATGTGTCTTTTTCCCCGTCTTGTTTTTCCAGGCAGTTTTCTAGACAACATGCCCYTGCGAAGCTCCGGCAAGCTGAGCATGGAGAGCAGGAGGGAGGACAGCGAGAGCACAGCGTCTGCCCCGCCGCAGAAGAAACTGTCCTGCCAGTGCCACCACCATTGCCCTGAGGACTCGGTCAACAGCACCTGCAGGTGAGTGGGATAAATCATCTGCACGAAGCACGGGAAGGCCCGGGGATGTCTCAGGTTGGGTGTTACCATTAGTTTTTAGCAGTAAAATATAAGGGAGAGTTGCTTGCATGCTGTGTGTAGAAGATGACGTTTGCTTGGGCATGTCACCTATACATCTATATTTCTGTTAGGATATCTACACCCTTAAAAGCTTTCCAKGTATGAAATATTCAGGAGGTGGGAGTATGTTTTTAAAATGTCTGTGTAGTTAATAAGAGACTTAATAGGGATGTAGACAATTGTGAATGCTTATAAATTCACGATCACTCTTCGGAACTATCACAAGAAACCTGTTGTGTTCATCTTTACTACAGCTGAACTACCTTTTGAAGGCTTTTCAAGGTGCTGCTTTTTCTTGCCTCTGTGATAAAAGGGAAATTATTTCTTGAGGAGAAGTTAAATATTTTCTTAGGAGAAATCTTCCTTGTGTTTTACTGCTTGGTCAAAGTAAACTTCTCATTTGTGTTCAGTTCTGTTTCCTCAAGGGCCAYCCCTTCTGCTGGCTTAGGGCATGTAAAATCACAGGGGTATTTACCATCAGCTGCTACAGTTAGGGGGCATCTGGGAATGCCACAAGCACAACACAGGTGTATTTGCCCAGCTGCACATGCTGGCTTGGAATGTGATTCTCTTTGAGATGAACCAGGCTACTATTTTACCTGTACTGGCTACTTCTTCCAGGCTGTGTGTTCAAAAAGGTCACAAAACCGTAAGATTTTGAAGATGCAGATGATTTTGTTGTTTTTTTCTGTGTTGTTTCACAGTCTAATTTTGTTCTGCTCAGCCTGTAGTTTCACTGAAGCATGTCAGTTCAGATGGTAGCTGTAAATAGTATTTCCTCTATTGCGTTCCTCCTCCAAACTGATGCTCTAGCTATGTGGTGGCCCCTTTGCAGATCCCCTTGCAAAGCTGTGGAAGCCCCACTCGGCCATCAGTTTCCTGTTGTGGGAAGGGGCTGTCTTACACATGCACCCATGCAAGCTGCAGGTGATAGTTAATCCACAAATTGGAAAACACAACGGGATCATGTTAAGAAACCCACCCAACAAGGTTTATACCCCAGCTGGGCAGGACCTGATGCTACCCAGTGCTTCACAGGGTGTCATCATTAATAAGTATAATCAATGTGACTGAGAACTGTGAGCAAATGTCCTGTTAAAAAAGATTTGTGCAGTTTCCTTCACTGTGATGCTTTTTAAAAAATACCTAATGTCTTCAGATGTCCCATGCAGTATCACAAACCCAATCTGCTTTTTAACTATTGGTGTCCAAGTATGGACATGTGCAAGCAGTTAAGTAGCAAATTGCAACCACTTCTCTCTTCACACACTAATCTCACACTATGTAATTCAAGTGGTAGATTTAATTTCTAGGTATCTGGGTTAAGGACTGAATRTGGAGTTTATCCATCAAACTATTGTTCACTTTAGTGCAAGAAAAGTGAAGTCACAAGACTAGCCTTTTACCCAAATTTTCTGCTCTTTACCAGGTTGCTGCTGTCATCCTAGCACAATCTCTTCCTTAAGAAAAAGGAAGAAAAGGAAGGAAAAAACCCACAAAACTTCTTTAGAGTTTAGAGAAGAGGAAAAACTTGCAATTAAATACCCATACCCCACCTTTGCAGTGCTTCCCAAGCTGGTAATGGTTCCTGCAGTAGCTCCCCTTACCTGTATGCATGAGAGCTACAGCTGAGTGCAAGCTACAGCAGCCCTTGTTTTCCCTGCATTTGCTCAGCTCTCTTGATCTCCTATTTTGGCATGCATTCCTTACTATGAAATTGGCATTAAAGATAAAAGCAAAAACAGAGCTTACYGTGTGAAGGGGGTCCTGGCTCTAATTTTGGGAAGGAGTAGTTATTAGGTTTCCAGATATCTAGCTGCATTGAGCCCAGGTTTAAAAGATTTGGCTCAGACCACTCAGGTAAGCACAGACTGCTCGTCCCCCTTCTATTTTGGGATCATCATACTAATCAGCTTGTTATTTTCCTATTTCAGTAGAGCCTGATTAACTCTTGGCACGAGTTTAAAGCAATCTGGAGTTCTCATTTACCCTCCCTGCAGAAGAGCCTTCCCCATGCTCAAGTGCAAACAGCAGCGATTGCAATTGCTCAGTGTTTGTCCGAAGGACAGCTAAGCTGTTTCAGATTAAAAGCTATTGTGTGAATCACCTTCCTCCCCTGTATGCAGTCCCTGAAAGCTTTCCAAAGACCAAYGGACTTGCTCACAGCCTGGCAAAAGAAAAAACCCCGAGCAAGGTTGCATGGAGGGCTCGGGGGCTCTCAGASAGGGCTCCCACCAGCCTCCCCTAGCCAGGCTGGCAGCAGGAAAGCTGGGAGCAGCAAAGTCCTGCAGCAGCCAGCACTAGGGATGCCTCATGGAAAAGCAGCCTGCCCTCGTGCTGGTTTGGGCCCACTTGGGCATGTCTTGGTCTCACAGGTACAACCTGCAGCATTAGCAGGCTCAGTGTTTTTTATAAAAATGAGGACATCTGGTGGCCATTTGAAATCCTCTCCATAATTGCTTCTTTAGACATTTAAAATCAATACTCTTAGCCACATCTGTTTCAAATCCTCTGGCGGCCTGCTGCACTCGGATACAGATTTCCCCTTTCCTTCTACTGCTGCGTAACTTCTGCAGCCCTTGAGTAAGCTAGGGGTAACACCACAGATTCAAATGCACGTTATTTGCTATTTCAGCATGAAATAATAGTAACTGCTCCAGTTAAAGCACTCTTGACAGTGCAACCCTGCTGAAAACATTGCCAGCATTGAGCAGGGTGTGTGTGTGGGGGGTACAGGAAATGCTTTTTAGCTTTAAAAGAAGACTAAGCCTATATGAAATGAGTTACTTAAGGCAGTTGGTACATTTTCTTGAGGCGTATCTGCACAAATCAGTTAAATAGGAGTTTAGTCCTGAATCTGCTGGAATTTAAGGTAGGTTTTTTTGTTGGTTTGTTTTTGAATGATGATTAAAAAAATYAGATTCTGGTAGGTTTTTGAGGTTTCTATGCCTTGTGTTAAACTACCCTCGCTCAAAATGTCTGCAGTTGATGGCCTCCAGCCCTGCAGAGGTCAAGCCCACCCATGTGCTGGGCACCAAAAGCAGGGGCAGCTGCTCAAGAGAGGGCTGGTGTGAGGGAACAGGGCTGTGCACTCRGGGTTCTTCCACATACACAGACCCAACTGCCCCTGTTTCAGTTTGCGCCCATTGCCTCTTRTCCTGGGACTGGCCACACTGAAAATAGTCTGGCCCCATCCTCGAGATGGAAGCTGGAGACTTGTGTGGCCAGAAGCTCTGGGCCACTGTAAGCCACTTTTGCCTCCTTCCATCCCTTCATCCCTGTTGCCTTCCRGATAGCTGCACAGTCATCCACAGGTGGATTTGGTTCAACAACTGCATGATGTTCTTGACACGGTTTCAGGCTCTTYGATGCACAGCTGCTTGTTATATTTTACAGGAGAGGTGGAGAATGAGCCTGCACTCAATGCATTTATCATGGCTCTTTGTTATGGACAGTATCCAAAGAGAAGGTTCTGCTAAATTTGGCCTTCATCATCTTCCATGGGTGAAGGATGTGACAMAACACAGGAACTGGGCACAAATTGGGAGTCTAAGCCAGTTTTTCAATTAGTTTAATTCAGCCAGACTTCACCGAACTGTATGAACTTCCAGGTTTCTGTACATAACATAGCCTAATGTTTTTTGTTCATTTTTTAAGAAAAGTGTAAAATCAGTGCATGTCACACTGCTTTGAATGGAAATGTAAAGGTGGTGTAACTCATTCTGTTACTGCAGCCAAAATTGTACAAAAAGGAGGTGTGACCAAAAATACTCTTTTAGACGTAACTGCAATTCATATTAATGGTAAGAAACCTTTTCATCAGGTTATTTAACCATCCTATTTTTCACAGGCACTAAATGATGGAATTAGCATCACTTTGACAAAGTATTCTCTRCCCAACCTTGCTGCCCAGAGCACATAGCAGGCAGGACCATAAGCCGTCAGCAGTGAAACTTTGGTAGTGTGTGCACTGTGTGGTGTGGCATAGTCCTTGTCCAGTGAGGACACCTGCTCGGGCAGCTGCAGAGCTGCTGTTCCTCTCYCTGGACACCAAGCAAAGGGCTCTGTCAAGGGCAGCGGGGAGCTGCGCTGGGCGCAGCACCTTCTATAGCAGCAACTTTTGGCGTTTCCCTCAAGAACTCCCTGTTTTCTTCAGTACAATAAAGGGTTTTCATATCGCGTGACAACTTTTTCCTCTAACTTGTTTTTCCACTAGCAATATAAGCAAACAGTACCTCTATTTGTTTTGCTCTGTAGGCCCTTTTAAAATTTTATCAGTTTTCCTTCATTACTGTTCTGGTGTCTACACAAAACATGAGTTTTATGACTTTTCCATTTTGCTCTATGCAGTCTAATTTTATTTGTCTTTCTAGACATGAAATAAAATTTTCAGAGGGAYTGAAGTTCTTTAGGATCCTAAATCTCATTTTTGAATATGAACTAAAAATGAGTGTCCCCTAGCAAGCTGGGAAAATAAGAAAAGAAGCTGCTAACTTTCTTGCTTCTCCTTCTGCAAACAATTTGACCCTCCCTCTCCCCTTCCACCTTTCCTTTTGAGACCTGACTGTTCTGATTTTTGCCATGGACCGTTAGCTGTGCAGTTCATTTTTGCGTCTCGATTGCAATTTATTGTTTTGTTGCTCTCTCCCCTGGGTTAAACGAACTCATTACTTTGAATCAAAGGCACCATGCAAACAAATAAAATCTAATCTAATATAATATTCTGCTCTAATGGATTCCTTAYAGTCTCTCTCCTTGGCAATCCCGCCGCTCCTATCTTAAGCTGGGGCAGTGCAGTCGAGGTGGTTGCTGTCTCCTTGGCCCTACTCGCATGCACAATGTCAGGGAAGGGCAGAAGTCATCACTTCTCTCTCCGAGAAAGTAATTTGTAACGTACCCCCGGTTACTTTTCAGGCCCAGCAGTCAATAACGGGTGATAGATTATTATTTGAAGTAATAAGCTTACTGTGGCTAGACCCTGCACCGCTAATATAGAAAGATGCCGCAGCAAATGCTTGACGTGATCCTATCCAGGATCTGTCTGTACCGTAGCTAATACTTGCAAATTGTGTTTAGCCAGCCAGTGTGGAAGAGTGCCCCTCTTTTCCTGTGGCTCCATGCTCTTTGCTGCTGCTGTTCTGCCAGGCTTTCCTCTTGTTCAAGAGAGGAGCAAATCACCTGAACTTTTGCTGTGTTTAAATTTTCCAATCCTCTTTTCTTTCTATTTMCCTTTTTTAACTGTGTTTGTGTGCTCTCTTCTGAAATATGTTCACAGAACATAATAACCAGTGTTGTTTTGCTGGGGAAACAGCGGAGTATATTATTTTTATGCAACTTACATGTCTCGTATTAGAGAGTTTTTAGTTTATTTTTGGATCCCCTTCTTGCGAGTTAGTCGTTTTATGTCCCCCTCAGAGGACTAAAATTATTGTACAGCAGTCCCAGTAAAACGCAGCCGCTCTTTTTGTGCCCTCCACCCCTTCTTTCCATAGTGCTCAGGCATTTGACCTTCGTCAAGGAAGGACATTTATCACCAGCTCCATCTCACCATCTGTTAGGATACTTGTCCTCGGCCGGGCACATTCTTGTAAACGGAAGCATTACGGATCACTTTAGGCTTATAAGCCATGTAAACAGTTATGAAGGGTGTTGATGATAACTCAAGGACTCRAACACAAGAGTGTTGCAGCTTGCACTATGTTTAAAACAGGTATCACAAATCACCCTTAATAGCACTTTACTGTTAATATCTCAAAATATCTCAGAAATGTTTGTTTCTTAGGTCTCCTCCATGGAGTAAGTATCCATGTTTCATTCTCATGCACRAGGCAGTCCTGTTGCAGCACTGATGCTTGCAGCCGTATAGGTCTCCAAAGTCTGAACACTGTAGTGCCTATAAGCAATTACAGAAAATTAAAATGTCTTATTACTAAGAAGTGTTGGGAGGGGAGATGTGTCAGTTTGAGGCACAGCCTTCTTTGTGTATGGAAAAGTCATTTATTGTTAAATTGCATTGCAACGAGTTGCCCTGGGCACCTTCATCTTTTAGCCTGCCTTTTTCCATATGTGCCACAGTACTYCAGCTCTTTGGATATTGTCGTGCTGCTGGAGGACATATGTTGATTTGTTAATGATGGGAGTGCATGGCAAAGAAACAGCATTGTAGACTCTCTTTAGCAGCATGTTTTTCATGTTGAAAAAGACAAACAAACACTCCTCATTCGTTCTTTTATTCCACTCCTCAGCACTGATGGCTACTGCTTCACCATCATAGAAGAAGATGAGGCCGGTGGACATTTAGTCACCAAGGGATGTCTAGGATTAGAGGGTTCAGACTTCCAGTGCCGGGTAAGAAGGCCTTTCCTGCCTCCACTTTGTTTGACTTGTTGGCAGCTTTCAGTGAAGTGCAACCTTTATGCCTTACATGCAGTTCCCTTGGGTATGGGTTTTTTGATGCAGGGGATTCATTTAGAGTCCCCCAATCACCTGTCTTGAAGCAAAGCTTGCTGCAGGAATAGAAAGTGTTTGGGCAGATGCCTCTGAAGCACTCAACCTCTCTACAGTAAAGCGTGGATGATTTTATATGAGTACATGTTCTCATGACAGGTAAATTAATCCACCCAGCAATTTTTGTATTAGTCCAGATAAACTATTTTGAATACGCTACTTAACTTACTTATATAACATAACTCCAACGCATGCACATATGTAACTGTCAGAGCTCTGTCTTATGCYATTAGAGTCAGTAGAGCCTTTCTGCAGCATAGGGGCATCGACAGAAATAGCCAAAGGATGAACTCATCTCTTGCTGATTTAGATGAAGTGTTTCTGGTGGCACAAATGCTTGCTCCAACAACCTGGAAGTGTGTTAGTGACCACAAGCCACTTGACAAGCACACTTTTCTCTGAAGCACCAGAACGACAGTGTCCCTGGGCTCCGTAGGTGATTACTGTGTTTTCTATGACGTTTTTCATTGCAGGACACTCCCATTCCACACCAAAGAAGATCGATTGAATGCTGCACGGGTCAAGATTACTGTAACAAACATCTTCACCCTACACTGCCGCCCCTGAAAAACAGAGGTAAGGGCAAGAGGTAAATTCAGCCCCCAAATRATCTTTTCCTGCTGTTATATCCTGTTGCTCTTTGCAACTCAGAAGCAATGCCAAAAGCAAAGCTCCCCACCAACGGTGCATGGTTAGAAAGATCAACTGTATTAAATAGTCTATCAGTTGTGGCAGTTTTTCATAACTCCCTTGTAATTTCTGTCGGACACGTCTGAGACCAGACATAACTTAAAATAGAGTGTAGGGTCATGCAGTGATTTTTATTAATTTGTTGTCTGGGAACAAATGGAAATGTGTTAACTTAATGGATTCCAGGTAAGACTTGCGTTAGGTTGTAGCTTGTCTTAATTATTTATGTCTGAAAGTTGCTGCAGCAAATTTGGCTGAGTGTTGCAAAATGGGTATTTTAAAAATGGTGGTTTCTAAGCAAAAGTAGCGTTCTCCCATAGCAAAATCTTGGCCTTGACCACAATCCCCACCACGGAGTTGAGTCTGTGAGAATCAGTTCAAGCTTGCAAGTAAATCTGTAATCGTTGCATTCACTTCTGGTGGCTCCAAAATCTAAATCTGTGCTCGGATGCACCCTCACACCAACAGCAGATCCCCAAATGCATGCTCAGAGAGAGACTTGGTGCATACTAGCAGTTCCTCTCACATCTATGAAATTTTGCRTAGATGGGCTGCAGAATCAGGTCTGTGGAAGCTAATATGTAAATATTTGCTACAAGCTGTTAAGTCGGTCAAGCCTCATAAAATTTGGTCTCCCAATATGCCAGGTGTTTTTTTTTTTTAATTCCTTGGATGGAGAGAGAGAAGCTTTGAAAGGAAGTCAGTATTTGTTCACACTTCGTTAGTGTATCAATAAATGTCATTTCAGTTTTCAAAATGATGCCATGATTTCATGTTCCTGACTGAGTTAATTCCAACTTAAAAACCATTTAAAAATATGGAACAAATATGTCTAAAACAAGGTATCTGCCTAACTAAGCTCTTAGCTATCTGGCTGTCTTGTTTGCTGCTTGTATCCAAAGCAATAAAAAAAAGCTTTTGCTAGTGACAGACACTATTTGTATAGATTTTTGGGTTTGCTCTGTGCCTGTAATGAGTAAATAAAGCATCACTTGGGCACTGTGTTGGCAGACCCATTAAACAGCAGAGAGAGTATTTGTTGAAAGAATAATTTTATAGTGTTGGAACAGGACTCTAGCTGCTTCATATTGCAAAGTTGTCTGCTGTGTTATGACAAGCAAAAGGCCATGTATTCATTCAACGTGTTCTGAAGATTCTTGTTTGAAATGAGCCCTGCAATAGTAGTATCCTGTCCGTTAGTGTGCTGGGGAAATACATTTCAGAAAATACTTCATAAAATATGCCTGAACAGGACTGAAATTAGCACCTTCACCAAGGTTTTATGCAACTATTTATGTCCTGCCTGGTGGCAGACCTGTTTTAATTTGCCACTGCTATGTCCTAGTGTAAAAGCTTAGGGAAAAGTTGTAGTTTAAATTAAAGATCCTTGCTGCAATCCTGCACAAATGCTGTGTGTTGAGTATTGCCAGCACTGTGGCTGTGATCATTTCTTCTGCTGGAGATTTTTAAAATTAGGGTACAATTTAGTGAATGCTATTAGAATTGTTAATCCAATTTAACATCAACTGTGAGCTGTAGAGGAGAGGAAAAAAAAAAAAAAACCTCTTAAAACAAGCTAATAGAAACAACCTCACAACCTTTAGGATTCCTTGAGTAAAATTGTGTGCTACTCAGCATTTAAGAACAGAAGAAAGTTTGCTTCTGGTGAACTTATGTCCAGGCTCWTCTCTCAAGGGACACAGAGATCATCCAGCTGCGGGTCAGAGGTTGCTGAACTGCAAATTACCAAGGTAACACCTACTAAGGCAAGGAAATTGCACCCTGAGAGCGTTTTTCYAGATCTGGCATGTGCTGGAATGGGGGCTTTGCCCTCTCTCCGTGGAAAGAAAGGAGCACCACTTTGGTGCAAATTGGGAGAATTAGCACATGGTTGCAGCAAGGCTCTCTTGAGCGAGGTGGAAGAAGGTAGCAACAGCTAAGCTTAAATTTTAATCTTATCCTAGTTGCAGACCTAGCAGGGTAGTACCCTAGGGAGGCTGTAAAGCCCTGTCCCCAGCCTTGCATCTGTCTTGCTGAGGAAATGAGAATCCCAGTTGGATCTGAAAGGACACCTCTATTTTAAACAATAAGGGATCTTCCTGGCAATGGTGGCCTGGGGAGCGCTCCGTCCGYGCTGAGGGAGAGCCCGCGCTGAGGGAGAGCCGTGCGAGCCGCAGCGCTGGTGCTGCCGTGTCTGGCGGCCGGCCGGCCTGCCGCCCTCGTGATGGATGGCGGCGCGACGGGGCCTGCGCGCATGCGGCCGCTTCAGCACACCAGGAGAGCCCGTCCTCCCCTCAGCCCCACCCCATGGAGGCCATCCCTCAGGAGAGCCCRTCCCCCATGGAGGCCATCCCTCAGGAGAGCCCATCCTCCCCTCAAACCCATCCCATGCGGACCATCCCTGCACCACGGCCTGCGCCTTCACGAGCGTGTGCTCGGCGAGGGGCAGCCCCGAGTATCGTGTTCCCCCGATAGCCATCGTGCCGGGTCCCCTTTCAAGGGCGCCGGCCGCCTCCTGTGTGTTTATGTAGTTAGCGCTCCCAGAGCAGGGGAGGGCAGCCCGGAACATGAGCACACCGTGAAAAGGTGCCCCCGTAGGTGAGCGGTGTTGTGGGTGGGAGGAAAGAGCTGCGGGCAAAAGGGACAGGGAAACCAGAGCTCAAAAGGAAAAGCGCCCGCCGGGTCCCCGAGGAGGCTCCRTGTCTCATTACCCTTGCAAATCCGCAAGGGAACGGTGCTGCGGCCGGAGGAGCTGACAGGGATACAGGGATGGGCTCCTAGAGCAGGAGGATGCGGGACAGAGAGGTCTCTTCTGCTGCCCATGGAAATGCCAGGACTTGGGGCTTTAAAGAAGAACAGCACGAGGTCTCTTTGCCGAGAAATTTTATGCAAAGGCATTTCCCATTGTTTACTTTACACGTAAACACGTGGTCTGCGTTCTTGAGGACTATGTGGTGGCTTCCCTGCTAGCATAAATGCAGCTACCTCTTTTTTTTAATATAAGCTGTTTGGCAGGTCCACAGCCCATAAAAGTGATGTAGGATAGTGGCCATCATTTTTGTATGTCCCACTTGATCAAAGAGGTTAAAACCCAGAGCTGTAGGTCTTCCTTTGCCTTCACTAATCARCTCTTCGTTCAGAGCCCGAGAGAGATGCCCTTCAGGGCAAGGTCCCGGCTTTACTAATGAGGGTTTTGTGCYCTGGCAAGGTCTACGCAAGCAAAGAGGCCCTTGCATGTTGCCTGTTTTGCTGTGGCCACTGAAGTGCCAACAAGATGACCTTTTAAACCGGGAATATCTTGCAGAGTATTTTACAAGGGAAATAAAAACTGCACTGATCAAGTCTTCCTAAGTCATGTGTGTCTTTGGTTGCTGACTTGGTACCACCTCCCTTTTCCATTTTCCACCTTTCCAAACTTTCTTTCCTTTGTTTTTATTTTTTTTTAAACTCCAGACTTTGCTGAAGGAAATATTCACCACAAGGCCTTGCTGATATCAGTGACTGTTTGCAGTATTCTTCTGGTGCTTATTATCATATTCTGCTACTTCAGGTAAAGAAAGAGTATTTTACCAGATGGTAAACATTCTTCATAATATTGATCTTTCTCATGGACATCAGACATAAAAATTTAAGGTGAAAGTTAAATAAAAACAAAACTGTGATTTTGTTGTGGAAAACAAATGCCTRTTTTATTCACACCGGTCTTAAGAATATCTGCTGTGATGTATTTCATATAGTGTCTTTTGCCTGGCCTCCTAAAAAGCCTTTCAGGCAAAAGCACAGATTTTTCTTTGCTGAAGCTGAAAAATGTCACAGGGTGAAGTTTGTTACAGAGCAGATAAACCTAGGCCCTCTAAATCTCTTCACACAGTGAAGAGGTAATCCCCAAAAAGAGAAGRGAGCAAAAGGGTAAGTAAGTGCAGCTAGAATGTTGTCATACATACAGTATATTTAAATAATTCCTCACTTGTTTAATTAGTCCCAGATCCATTATCATACCTCCTCTTGCTCATAAAAGACCCACTGCATTCAGTGAAATAAAACAGGGTATTTACGCTGGTTGTTTTAAACATATTTTACTTCCTCAAAACAAATGCACTCCTCTTGATATGCAAACATATATCAGGTTGCATTGAGTTCTGTGGTCCAGAGCACCAAGCAGTTCGGTGAAAACCAAGCTGAGCATACTGGCTAGTGAGCCCAACACACCCTGCAAATAGATCCATTAAACTTAATTCCCGTGTCCCCTGCATGGCAGGTACAAGAGGCAGGAGACACGGCCACGCTACAGCATCGGGCTGGAGCAGGACGAGACCTACATCCCGCCGGGAGAATCCCTGAAGGATCTGATCGAGCAGTCGCAGAGCTCTGGCAGCGGCTCYGGGCTCCCTCTCCTGGTAAGAGACAAATATGATTTTAATGCTGTGCTGAAAAGGCAGAGGAAAGGCCTGAGTGGAGGAAAAAATGAGACTTATATTTGTATRTACAGATTATTTAGGCTTTTCCTCCCTAGAAATGGCAAATATTTAAGCTGGAAAACAATTTAGAACCAGGGACTCTTATTTCACATAGGCTAGGCCAAAAAAAGCTTAACTTTTTTACTTCAGCACTTAGTTCTTAGCTCAGATGACATAGGATAAGTGCCTAGCTCAGATATCATAGCATAAATTCAGATTAATGGACCTCACACTGGGCTTTCCCCCAGTGGAAAGGACAGCGTCTGGCCTGCAGTCCCATTTTCATGCTTTTTATGTCCAACACAATAGCATTTCAAACACCGACATGCAGCCTTTATAGAAAAGGAACTGTAATTCATCAAACCTGCAGCCTTTTTATGTGTGGACTTCACTTTGCATTCAGAAGTCAAGAACAAATTATTTCCCTTGTACTGTGGTAATCTCGGAGGTTAAAGGCATTGGGAACGGAGTGCAGTTTATCATTATTTCTGAACCGGCTCCAAGACCCCTGAGCTCGCATGGTGAAAAGGCAGAAGTTTTACATTCTGTAACAAAAGGCTTCTGCTTACCACAGTTTTAGTTTTTTAACACTTCTCAGCAGTGAAGGAAAAACAGACTCTTTAAAATATTGCTCCAGAAAAAAAAAAAGATTTTATTTTCATTTTTCAGRAACTGTATGTTCCTTCTGTCTTCCAAACCTGCTTGTTTGCAGCAATCTGAGGCAACAAGCAGATGTTGTCCTGTTTCCAAGTATTTAAGCACTATTTTTTTCCCCTCAGATCTTTTTTTTTTCCCCCCTCCATATTAAAGATGAAATAAAGGAGGAAATTTTTTAATTCCTTAAGATGAAACAAACAAAAAGAACAACTGGCTAAAATCTGACTTACCTTTGAACTTGTTCTAGTAGGAATAAGTGCCCAGGTTCTCACTTAAATGAAGTGCTAACTTATTATTTTTAATATGATTTTCTGACGGTAGCCATAGCCATTGAGGGGGAGAAAAAAAAAAAAAAGAGAACCTGAAGCATGGGCTTGATGGCCAGGCCTAAGCATGGAAAATCTGTGGTCATTTTTATTTGTCAAGGGAAGTGTTGGCAATTGGAACAGAGGCTTTAAGGCTCTGTGGCCTCCCATCGGGATGTCCCTGCGGCAGCATGGAAAGGGAGGGATCCTGTCCGGGAATGAGGACCTTTCCTAATGAGAGCTTTTGATTTATTAAGCCAAGAGCCACCAGAAATGCATCGYTTGCTACGTATGGGCCTGTGCCTGCAACGAGTGTAAAGCAAAGTGCCTATTAAAAATGCCCTATCATCATTTCTTGATGACCATCAATGATGGTCATCAAGACCAAAAAATGACCATCATTATTTCTTACTCAAGGCATGAAACATTCAATGTTACTACTTCAGGAAAGCAAGCCACAAATTTATTACAAAACATCAATTTGTTATCAATACCTTGCCATTCAGCAAGCAGGCTTTTCTTCTCGAGCTATTACCCACTTGCAAAGTGCACATCCTGCCTTTTCACCAGGTTTCTGTCATTCCTCCTGCAAGGAATTTTGCTTTTCAGTGGGCTGCATCCCAGCAGGAGCCCTCGCATTCTCTGTTAGAAAGATGTTGTAGTGCAAAAAGGCTCGTTTGGGTGAATTTCCTCCCTATTTGGCTGTAAAACAGAAGGTGGAGAAGCTTTGGYAGAAGTAGACTTAGTTGGTAAGAGGGGAGACAAAAGGCCGTGAAACTTTACCTGGCTGGTCACAGAGCACGAGCAGCAAAATGCGGATTTGGAAGGGAATCAAAAAAGCACTCTGAATAATTCACACAGGCACATCATTCACCTGGCTTATAAAATCTATTCATCCAACACAATTTTGATTAACAACTGTGTTTAAAAAACGCAACCAGCTTATCAGCCCCCCCAAAGAGCTAAATTCCTTAAAAAAAAAAAAAGTTAAAAATTAAAAAATTCTTAATAAATCATTTGACCCATTCTAACAAGAGGAAACCAGGTTAAGGCCCTTCACATAGCATTCTGCTGCCTGAAAACCTATAACAGAAATGTGTTTTTCATTTTCTTAATGTAATTTAATAAGGAACTTTTCATCATTAAGTATTGTAATTTCATGTGCTTTATGATGCCATTACATATATTTGCACAAATTAAGTTATTTGATGTAACTGCGTTATTGTTCAGGATGCATTTTTAAAATGGGCAAAATAGAAAGCAACAATGCTAAAATTGCATTACCAAATGTTAAAGCAAAATTCCAATGTAATATAACAATTGTTCAATCACTATATGAGAGTATAAAGGAGAATAAATCAGTTTTAAGAATTAGGGCTAAGCTCTGCTCTTGGCTTTCACTGATGTTAATCAAAAATAATGGCACTGAAGCCACCATCTTGGAAGTCTCATAATATATTGGTGAAAAAATGGGATCCTGTTTAAATGGAAGCAAATAAATAAAAAAAAAAAACCTTCTGGAATAATTTTACATAAATGCCACTGAACGTTAKTCATCTCTAGATGACTAATCTGAAACCCAGTAATGTATTTACAAAACTGATAAGGGATCTTATCTGAGTATTCCTTGATACATCCGTGGGGCTGTGGCGCTCCTGCATCGCTGGCCTGTGCTTCCCATGCTGGGGATTGCAGGGAAAATGAGGAGTTTCCACTGCAATTCCATGAGACAGCGAAGGAAGCCAGTGCTTTTCAAAAATTTTTTTTTTTTTGTTATTTCACTTTGTCAACCACAACTGCAAAAATACAATTTTACATGGMGCCAATATAGTTTCATAGGGACTCAGCACAAACACGCTACAAGATGGTCCTTGAGAGTCGTTTACGTGTGGGGGCAAAACCCTCAGTTTGCACTAGTCCTGATTCTGCCGATAGCCTGGTTCTATCTGGAGCTAAAAGTTCTTAGAGAAAGAAGAAACCATACTAGAGTCTGTGAGGTTACAGTCTTTGAGAACCTTGGGGAGTCCTGTGGGTTGAACTGGCCACAGGGAAGCAGGAGGAGGTGACCTCTGAAGATGCTCCTCAGCCGTCATCACTAGGTGGGTTGGGCTGCAGGAAATGGTTCCTAGTCCTCTGCTTTCAGGACTTTTGGTAGTTATGGAGCACTGAGCAACCTTAGGTAGTTCTTAGTCCTGGCCTTGACATCAAGGGYGTTGAGCGTTTAAGAGCATTCCTGTTTTGCTTACAACTGTTTGCTGTGGGAAATGGGAGCTGCTGTATCAGAAATCAGTGTCTGTTCTCACCAGGACCTCGTGCGGAAAGGAGAGGAGGAAGCACCAAGGTGAACACTTTGTGCCTAACCCGCACGTCCTGGGATTTTGCAGGTTCAGAGGACCATAGCCAAGCAGATTCAGATGGTGAAGCAGATTGGAAAAGGTCGCTACGGAGAAGTCTGGATGGGAAAGTGGCGCGGAGAAAAAGTAGCTGTGAAAGTGTTCTTTACCACGGAGGAGGCCAGCTGGTTCAGAGAAACAGAAATCTACCAAACCGTCCTGATGAGGCACGAAAATATTCTTGGTGAGTGAAATTGAAGATAACGATTTGATAGTTGCAGGTTTCTTAAGCTTTGTTTGGTATTTGTTGCGCTCCGATGTCCTCTCCTATGTGCTTGGCTGCCCGAATTAGCCATGCAGCACCTTTCAAAGGGAAGATGTGCTAAGGAATCCTGTGCCGTTGAAGATCCCTGGCTTTGGAGGCTGCCCTTGTGCATGCAGAAGGGCGCATTGCCTATAGCAACGTCGGCGTGGCTGCATGGAGGGCAGATAAAAGCGAGTGGATATGGGGCTAAAATAATTCCATTGCCACGGCTGGTGGTTCATTGGAGAAGACCATGGGAGGCATTAATGTGTAGATGTTTCCTTTGGGGCAGGATTCATTGCTGCAGACATTAAAGGTACGGGCTCCTGGACCCAGCTCTATCTCATCACGGACTACCACGAGAACGGCTCACTCTACGACTACCTGAAATCCACCACCTTGGACACCAAGGCCATGCTGAAGCTGGCCTACTCCTCGGTGAGCGGCTTGTGCCACCTGCACACGGAGATCTTCAGCACCCAAGGCAAGCCGGCCATCGCCCACCGGGACCTCAAGAGCAAGAACATCCTGGTCAAGAAGAACGGAACCTGCTGTATAGCAGATCTGGGCTTAGCTGTTAAATTCATTAGGTGAGTGCCCTAATGAATAGCACAGAAAYGAGGCAGATTGGTTGCTTATTGAATGTGTGTGTGTGTGTATCTATATGCAAACACAAACATATACATAAGCGATAGCTCTGTAATAGCTGAGATCATTATTTGCATTTACTATAACCACTTTGGTTTCCATCAGCTCTGCTCCCTATCAGCCAGGTACTCTTGCCACACGCCAAAGGGACGTAGTGCTGGCCAGTGGGAGGCATCTCCCTAAGCCTGTCTGTGAAGCTTGCCTCATCTCTCAATAATTCACTCGCAGTTTATACAGAACAATATTAATCATTGGCACATGCCACAAATTGGGATTTATTGAAAAGCACCCCACTTGAGCTGTGTTTTGTTTCATTTCCTACAAATCAAATTGCTGAGGTACAGATTTGATTTTTGAAATGGCTTTTAAATTTGATTTTTAAAAATGGTTATGTGTTTAAACAACTTAGAAGGACCAGAGAAGTAGAACTTGCTCACTCCTGGGATTCATAAAGAAGTCATTGCTATCTGGCAGCTGTTTGCTCCCTTTGAAAGGAGCTGGAGTTCCCAGGCCTGTTCCTGCTGCAGGTGTATGTTCAAAATCCTGTGATATTGCTGAGCTCAGAAACATGGACAATAAAGTGAAGGTTTTGGTCTCAGAGGTCAGCTTTGAAAATGTGGGTTCCCTGAAGTACAGGAAAAAACTGCTCTGTACAGGATCTTGAACTGAAATTATTCAGAGTGTGAGTCAAGGCAGTTTTATGTGCTCTTCGCACTCCTCAGTCAGGTGCCTTGGTGAAGCTTTTCCTTTATGAACCTGGCCTTCCTCTGGGAGATGAGAAAGAAATAATTTTACTTTGGGGAAGAAAAACAACAGCTTGGAAATATGCCCTTTGCTGTAAAAGTTTCAGGGAATGCAGTTTGCCCTTTCCAGGTGGACTTTGCCTGGCAAATATACAGTAATACATTTCTTGGGTATGAAATGAGAACAGAAACTGCCAAGTGTTGCTCACAACAGATGTGTGTATGTGTGTATATATGCATGTATATACACACATATATGTCTGTATACATGTATGTGTATATATGCATGTATATACACACATATATGTCTGTATACATGTGTGCATATGCTTGAAAATACATGCACACACAAATGTAAAAATATTTTAATTATAAATATATGAGCATGTGTTATTACAATATATAAACCAGAAAATATATAAACACATATACACACATATGTCTATCATGCATATGTGGATATATATCTCTACATGTCACATATGCGTGCATATATACATATATACGCATATACCAGCAGATGTATATTACTGATTGGGAATGTGGAAAGATTTGTTTCACTATTTTTTTGCAAGTTTTACTCTTGGGATATGACTGATAGGTGACCAGGATTTTACAATAAGTTGGCCAAACTCCTTCTCCCTGCAGGTCTGATTGAGAAGAGTTGAATTATGGTCCCCAATTATTTAGTCTCCCCCATTAATTGTTAAGACTAGAGCATTAGGAGGCAGAGTATGTTAAGGAAGCAGCATTTAATGAAGAGTTGATTGTTATCACCAGCAGTTTAGCTTAATGGCGATGAAATTTCCCGAATGTTACAGCATCCCTGGTGAGCCTCATCTCCAGTGCAGTTGTGCCTTGGAATGCTCAGCATTGCCCGAGGTAGGGGAGTCTTGATGGAAGGGTCCGGAGCCTTTCCCTGCAAGAACTGCTCACTAAGATCACCTGGCTTCTGACCTTGCTCCAGCCTGGATGTGGTTTGAATTTGCCAGTGCTCACATCCACGCCGCTTTCCTTGAGCGTTGCTTTGTTGCACACCTGATGCCTCGTCTGCTTTTTGTTACTTCATTCTTTTTGTCTTCCAGCGACACCAACGAGGTGGACATTCCTCCCAACACGCGTGTAGGGACCAAGCGCTACATGCCCCCCGAGGTGCTGGACGAGAGCTTGAACAGAAACCACTTCCAGTCGTACATCATGGCCGACATGTACAGTTTTGGGCTCATCCTCTGGGAGATCGCAAGGAGATGCGTGTCGGGAGGTAAAGAATCAGGCCTAGACGAAGCGTTTCCTGGGGAAGCGCCTGCGTGAGGGAGGAGGACAGGGGCTGGCGTCTTCGGCGCGTGACGGGCACGTCGTGCCGTGCCTTTTTGCCAGGCATCGTGGAGGAATACCAGCTGCCCTACCACGACGTGGTGCCCAGCGACCCCTCGTACGAGGACATGCGGGAGATCGTGTGCATCAAGCGGCTCCGCCCGTCCTTCCCCAACAGGTGGAGCAGCGATGAGGTACCGTCCCTCGCGTGCCCTAGCTCTGTGCCTTACGCGTGCGAGGGCCAGAGGGTAAGACCGAGAAAACGCCTTGCAGTGTAAGACTGGGGTGTTTGCAGCGTGAGGGGGCATCTGCGCCCTGCCCAAATAGCTGGGAACCTCTAGTGCAGCCAAGTCAGGCGTTGGGGATTGCAGGTGAGTGGAGGATGYGCGACAGGCAAACTGGCTGACTCTTGTCATGGTGCTGTGGAGGAGTCGTTAATCAAGCTAACTGGTACAGTGTAATGTTGTAATGGCTTTGGCGAGAGCAGGAGGCAGCTCACATTTGGGAACAGCAGATTGGGGTGAATATTCTGCAAATAGGTAGAAGATTCCCATCCCGTGAGCTGTAGGCAATTGGGRAATGCCAGGGAAAAATAAAACAACCTCCTCAGGAGACTCAGGACCTGCAGGAGCAGCCTGTGTGGGAAGGACTTAACCAGGTGTCCTGCARCTGATCAGAATGGCCTAGCTGGGACTTGTTGGCAAAATCCGCTGCTGGGGGAAGCCCTAGAAGGGCTGGGAAGGCCGCATGTTCCTGCTGAGCCCTTTCCCTGGAGCCCAGCTCATTCCACTGAATTTCCAGTCTCACCTGTAGCGCCYGTGCGGTTTGCTGCAGGCGTTTGGGAGAGGGGAGGTAAGGAAGGTGCTTGGGTTGGGTGGCCGGCGGGGAGGAGCGGAGGGGTGGCCACGAGCACTAGCGCAGCTGCCGCGTCCCGCGCGCCCGATGCGCGAGGGCCGCCGGCCGCGACGCGCTCTCGCCCGCTCGCCCGCAGTGCCTGCGCCAGATGGGCAAGCTGATGCTGGAGTGCTGGGCGCACAGCCCCGCGTCGCGCCTCACCGCCCTGCGCGTCAAGAAGACGCTCGCCAAGATGTCAGAGTCGCAGGACATCAAGCTCTGACGCCGCCGCTCGCCCCCCGCGCCGCCGCCGCCCTCCTGAGAGCCCCCCGGGAGAGCGGCCCCGGCAGGAGGGACAGCCCCGGGGGCCGGGGCTCCCAGCGAGGAGGCCTCTCCGCTGCCCGTGTCTGCACGGGCACGTGCAGTTGGACTAACGGGTCTAAGGTTGCTTTCYGTGAAAGCCGCTTATTATTTTATTGTTATTATTATTATTGTTATTATTATTGATTGTTTTAAAAGGAGATACTGCTTTAAATTTTATGAAAATAAAAGCTTGGGTTAGAAGTTAAAAGAAAAAGATGTATATCGTTACGTTAAGAATTGGAGGAAACTGCGCTGAGAAAAACAAACACAGGCCAAGTGACTTTCTCGTYTGTAGAGAGACCGTTGCACTCGAGCGTTGATGGAAGCGGAGGGAGGGAGCCTGGGCAGCGCGGAGGAGCCACACAGGGAGCCACCTGCAGTGTTACCTGCCCCATAGCCAGCGCCCCGCGAGTTGCTGCTGTCAGAGGCGGGCTGCCGAGTCCCAGTCGCGGCCTCCCGCGGGGCAGCCCCTCGTCACGCAGGATGCCCAGGAACCGGAGGACACGCACGGCTCCGTTCCGTTTGCCTTTCGTTTCACGGTCTGATTTATTTCTTCCCGTAGCTGTTTGCAGCCCTGCTAGGAGGCGTCTCGGCGGTGGCGCCGGGATGCGGAACCCGCGGCCCACGTGGTGACGTGGAGCCGAGCTGCAAGGGAGCCGCGCGTGGCCCCTTCCTCTGCGTCGGATGTAAGCCCGGATGTTAGCCCCATCTGGATGTAAGTTGCTGCACGTGCAGCTCGAATCGTCAGCATTGGCGCAAGCGATGCGCCGCGGTTAGCCTTGGCGTCTGTGCACTGCGCCTTTCCCCCCTTCTCTGGGTAAATGTAATTAGAGTGCAGCTYTGGTGCTCCCTGAAGGAATTTCCTGTTTGAAAAATTAATGTTTTTTTAATATTTCCAAGAGAAAAGGGTGTGAGGTTCAAGCAGTGCAGCAGGACCTGCGTGATTGCAGGCGGTGAAATTTAAGTTGCCTCTCATCAAGGAGAGGGCTTGTTTTGCAGTGCCCCTAGGAGGCCAAGCAGCAGGGAAAGAGAAATCTCTGCAAACTAAGTCCCCTGCACCCAGGGGCCACGATGGCTCGGGGTGAGAGGGGGAAAGTGCCAGCACCGGCACGGGGACCGCGGCTCCCGGAGCTGCTACGGGCGTCTTTGTTCCCGAACGATGGGATCCGACATGGTACCGCTTGAGAGGTCACGTAACGTGTGTACGTTAAATGTTCCCCTCCCCATGTGTGTGTCATATATATATATATGTGAAAGGAAATATATATATATTATTATATATATATATATATATTTGGTTGGGAGTCTGGAATCACTCCGGTATGTGGGTTTGACAGTAAGCTATTAGGGACGATGAAGCACTAAATAAAAGTGTAATATTTATTTATGAAAATACATAAGTGACAAATCAATGCAACAGTGCTGTGTAGGAAAGTGTGTATATACATATATATRYATATRTATRTATATAYAYATATAYATGTATATATATGTATATACATATGAGGAGACAGGTATCCAGGAAAATACAGGTTCTGCAGTTAAGTAGCTGGTCTCCCGCCCTTTTCCTCCAAGCCTACAGGGCCGGATTTAGCCCTCAAAAAGCTCCTCCTCGCTGTAGGCSAGGTCACCATTAGAGGAACCCCTCTCTGGCCAGAAGAGGGGCCGGAATTCGGCCGTGAGAGCAGCGGGAGGAGCGGAGCGTGGGGCTGGGGGCAGCGGCGCTCGCAGGGCCGCGCTTCACGAGGTGCGTTCCCGCCCGCGCCCGCGGGTTTGTCGGGCGCTCGGCTCTTGGGGCCGTGTCTGGGCTCCAGCGGKGACGCGGTACCTGCCGACGCGGGCCTCGGGGCCGAGATCCTCGTGGCTTCGGAGCCCGCGCSCTTTGAACTGCAGTTCTCGGATGTAGCAACGCTGAAGAAGGTTTAATTTAATGACTTGCTGGCACAGCCAAGAGACGTTGGAGAGGAATTTTTGTGAAAAAAGGGAAAGAGATGCCATCTAGCAACTGCTATTCCTTCTCTAGCACAAACAGAGCTATTTCTTTTTAAGGAACAATGTACAGTTGAAGAAAACTCATTTGTGTTCTTTTTTGAGAACCAGTGCCTTATGAAACCTGTAAATACTGTGATTAGGAAAAAAAAAAATTGGGGAGCAAACTGTTATGTTGTATTTGTTCAAGTTGTATATGGCTGTTTTAACATTCCCCAAATAAAACTGTTTCCATCTCCCCACGTGAAAGGGATGACTTTTGCTTTTCRTTTATTGCTCACGTGTCTGAAAACAACTGCTCTGCGGTTCCTTGCACTGCTTAACTTTGACCCTGCCTCATTTTCCCGTGTGGCTTTTCAAGGCTTTTCCCTTACAGCAGATGAATAAGCTGCGGGCTGTTGCAGACCTTTCCAGCGGCACTGAAAACAGAAGGAAGAAAAGAAAGAAAAGGGAGCCCCTGGCGTTTCGGGGCGATTCTGTGAAGGTGCAAGCGCCGCCCGCCGCCTCGGTGCACACGCGTGTGCCAGACACCCCACGCCCTGCCCGCCGCTTTGCCCGTGCCGGGGCGGCTCCGCTGGGGCAGGAGCGGCTCCGCTGCCGGCAGGCGCRTACGCGGCGCCCCTCGCTCCTCCCGAGGCTCCAGGCGCGCAACAACAACCGGACACGAGGTGCTGGCGCGTTTTTTTGTTCTTTTTTTTTTTCTCCAGTTGCTTATAAATATAATTTATTACCTGTTTAAAAATTCTTTCTTACACTTTGTACACGTCGTCAGGCCGACAGCATAAACGCAGGCATTTACAAAGAGAGGGAGGGGAGGGAAGGGAGGACTCGGCCGGCAGCGCGGCCCCGGACAAGGGCTTGCATAGAAGATGGGGCGGGAGCGGAGCGGGACCCTTCGCGGCCTCTGCCCCGTGCAGCTCGCCCGGGCCGGGGTTTCTTTGCGTTTCCTTTTGGTTTTGCTTTCTTGTCCCGCAGGCGGAGCTCATGGAGGGGCTCCCACGCAAGGGGGTTTTCGGATTCCCAGCCCAGGTGCTTCCCGCCGCGCTGGCCTGGAAGGCCCTCGCTCGGCTCCGTTACACAAGTGCTCCGGACACGAGACGGACACAGGAAACCTCACGGGCGTCACCTCGTCCAACACTAACCTCGGTGCTGCGGGAACTACTTGGCTAAAGGTACAGGGGTCTCGTGGTCCCCATCCCTCCCTTCCCACGCCTCCCCCCGCCCCAAAAAACGAGAGGAAAAGCAGAACCGAGAAGCAACTATTGCAGGTAGCAATACGAGACATGAGGACACTGTCCACAATGACGGGCTTACAGCATGTAAATACATTTATTCTATATGTAGGCAACAGAAATAGCAAGAAACCCAGGTGACAGACATGTCCTGCTCAGTCCGCATCCCAGACTCCAACATGTCTCACGAGCGTCTGCATTTCTGCCGGGGGATGTGGAAAAACGCCTCGGCCTCCCATGGATAACTGCCCTCGGAGACCCTACCTAAGTGCTTCCAAACCTCCGAGATGGACGCCGGGAGCGCTCGCGTGGGCCCCGCACCGCGTGGCGCGGCGCAGCGGGGCTCGGCCGCGGCGGGAAGCGCGGCGAGAGCCAGGGCGGCGGCGGCGCCCCGCGCCGGGGGCACCTCTGCAGCCACGCACCGCAAAGGAACTGAACCGACCCGCGTGGGGGGGCCGCCTCCCACAGCGGGAACCGAAGGCTTTCCGGGATGTCGGCGGATACTTCATATRTATTTATAGAATATATATATTATTTAAACCACTAGCAATCACCACGTACTGAGGAGATGGTGTAGGGGAGCAGCGAAGCTGCTAGGGCAAGTAACCAAAAGTGGATAACTAAAAGGTTAAGGGGTTTTTTTGGAAGATAATAATAGCTGGAGGATAGGAAGCCTGCAGTCGTTTTGTGTTTGTTTGTTCTTAATAAATCTGCTTACCTGACACAAAATGCAGCCCCGGCTCTCGAGAGCCGGGTCTGCCTGCTGAGAGCACGTGCYGTTTCGGAGGGCCGCCCCATGGAACAGTCCCTGCTAGGAGCACCTTCCTCGGGGCTCCGGGAAGGCCCTGGCTTTGGAGCTCTGCCCCACGAGATGGCAGCACGGACCTGCTCCCTTTCTGCCACCTGGGAAACAGCGTTTGGAGCCAACCTAGCGGCCCTCCCTGCCGCCGGGGCCATCCACGGCTGCTGCGGAGGCTCCTCTCGGGCGGGAGAAAGGTCCCAAGCCTGTGGAAATGTCAAGCGCGGAAAAGGTCGGGTGAAATTTCCCCTTCGTTTTCAACAACGACATTTTCAAAGTTACTTTGAAAGGTWTGGGCTTGAAAGCTGCCTTAGGGCAAAGAGGAAAAACAAGCAAAACCACAACAGAAACCGAGCAGCTGGGGTCCTGGGAAGAATGTGGTGGCAAAAAYCTGCAGTAGCAGAAAACGAGGGATGTCTCCCAACTTGGTACAAAACGGGAATGAAAACTGCTGGAAAACTCCTCTTTTCCGTGCTGTATGGGAGAGTCAGCCTTTTCACTGAGCTGAAAATCGGGAATCTCTGCAGCGACTACCCAAAGAAGAGGCGAGGGCTCAGCCGCCTTTGCCAGGCGCCCAAGGGATGCGGCAGGACGCGAGCGCGGCCGGAGCACGCGGGGGCTCGGGAAGGAGGTGGGRGCCTCCGCCAGGAAGGGCCCAGCGGGGCCTCTCCCAGGGAATGAGCCACCCTGCTGCTGGCAACGCTAGAAATAAGGTAAGAGTGGCAATAACAACAGTAATACCAATCATCGTAATCCTTGCACTAGGTACTAATTAGTAAATAATCACCATAGGAAAAATCTCTCTTCTTTCTGGATTTCCTGTGTTCCCCAACCGCTCTGAACTGTACATCCCGCCTTTCCCTCCGGGCTGCAGCCCTTTCCCAGAGGGATCCCCCTCCTCGGGGAGGCGGCGCTCGCTCCCGCCCAGCACGCAGGCTTCCCGCTTTCCACGCGCACCCCCCTGCCCCCTCGGTGCTCCTTTGTTTTACACGTGGGTCTGGGAAACGGGAGCGATGGCGGGAGGGTGGTGGCGAGGCCTCGATGCGCGGGAAGCGCGGCCGGAGTCTGGAACCATCGACTGGAAAGAGCCAGAACCTGCTGTCCAGAGCTGCGTCTAGAATGGCTTTGAGCAAAAAATAGAGGGAGCCGGGGACAGGCTCCTTACCCCTGTCCAGAACTGGATGTAAACAACGTCCATAGAAACTGGGATCGGTAAGAAAGTTTATCCATAGATCTGGATAGCAATAAAAAGCGTTTCCTAGGAAACTGTAAGATCCTGTACCAAGCAGCGTACAGCCGAGCCGAGAGGAACGTCACGGGGGTTTATATTTTTTCAAGGTACAACTTTGCGCGGTTGCTTTCAGATCCTGTGGCAATAACGTACAAGGAGAGCCCGGCTCGGGGCCGGGGGTGCCGTGTTTGCTCGCCCGCTTCTCCGAGACCGTTTCTCTCCCGCCGCTCTCGCTCGGGCTCTCGCAGCCCCTCAGTTCTCGGGGGTGGTAACRGGGCACCGTGTCTGGGTGCACCCGCCCATCCTGCTCTCACCACGGCCGCATCAGTAGCTTCCTTCTGCTGCCAGAGAAACGACGGTCTCGTGCCGGCCCATTTCCTCCAGGACGGCTGCCAGCACGCTCAGGTTGCCGTCRGGGAAATTCTGGGCTTCCCAGAGGTCCAGGATGACCCCAGTGGGGCTCGACTTGGTGGCAAAATAATTTAGATACCTGCAAGAAGCCAAGGGGAAAGCAGGTTGGSTGTGGTGTTTTTTTCCACGCAGCAACTCGAGCGAGTTGGTAGGGATGCAGCAGCGGCCCCGCTCACCTGTCCAGCTTGAGCTTGTGGGCCAGCACCCTCCAGTCGTGGCCCCTGGTCTGCGGCGCGTCGAGGCTGCTGCAGAGCTTCTGGCGGATGGGCAGCGGGATGCTGAAGGCGCCGGGCCCCGCGAGCGTCGTGGCGCCCTCGCCCAGCGGGTACTCGATGCCGCTCGGCTCCTGCCGTCGGGATGGAGGCAGGCGGGCAAGGAGGAGGGAGAGAGGGAGGAAGGGGGAAACACCACAGTGCTGTTACTGAGCGTGTTCTGTTGGTCAGGGGAGAGAGAGAAGCGTTTGCAGGGTGAGCACCGCCACAGCTGGGGAGCCCAGAGCCCAGCGGTAATGCTCTCAATTACTCGAAATAAGGGAAGATCAGGCACTTGGTATGTTTTAGCAGATTGCTGCTGCTGCCAGGGCTGAGTTGGTTCTGCTAATATGAAACTAAGTCTCCCGAAGGCTGGAGGCAGGATCCACATGCCCGGAGAGCTGAGCACTGAACTGGTCAGTGCAGCCCTGCTGGGGAGGGGGCAGCAGGCCGTTGCCTTTGCCAGATCACGGCCCCGAGTGAGCAGAAGAGCTGGTGYAAAAGGCTCCATGTTACAGCTCAGCGGGTGTGTGTGTGTGTTTCTCGGTCAGCTGCTTTGTGTAAAAGTGGGAAGGCCCTAAAAAGAAGCCCAAACTGGGTCAAAACTGGACTGCTCTTGGTCTGCGATGCCCCCAGCAGCCCCAGGAAGCCTGGGGAGACACTGGCAACACCCACTCAGGGTCCCTGTCCCCCCTTGCACACACACACGTGTCTCCCCGGCCTCACCAAGGGCTGTATTATTCCTTCCCTGCAGTCACTCCTGCTGGATGGGATCGCAGCACAAGACAGGAATATTATCCCGTTCCCCTTGAATCTATTATGAGGTCCTTTTACACCCAAGCAGCTGAAGATAATTATAGCGTGCGCTTGCATCACATTAAAGTTCCTCTCAGTTCTTTCTCTTTCCTTAGGTTAAATTAGCGATTACCTCAATGCCGCGCTTATTACAATAATKGTTTATGATACTTGTTTCACCATCTGTCCTTAATGTTGTGTTTTCCCCAGCTGGATATGTAAGTTTACACCCAATGAGCGAGCAGATGTTGCGGGTAAGGGTCCCTGCAGCCCCGGGAGCTGCTGCCCGTCGCCTCCCCGTCCTTCCCAACGTCAGGAAGCAGCAGCGCTCGCCCCCCGTGGGGTGCAGTGCCGCCTACCTCGGCCACGGAGCAGTTGAGCTGGAAGATCTGCCCCTCTCCCTCGACCTGCCGCACGCAGAGCTTGCACACGAGCTCCAGGGTGCTCAGGCTGAAGCGCTCCAGCGTGAAGGTGCAGTGCAGGTTCCGCTGGCAGCCGCTCCAGATGTGGTAGAAGGGAATCTCCTGCAGGAGCGGGAAGAGGACAGGTGAGGCGAGGCTTTTGCCCAGGCCCAGACCCCGGCGGGAGCGGGCCGCGCGGCCTACCTGGTACTTGGCCAGCAGCTTGCTCTTCCACAGGGAGTGGGCGATGTCGTGAATGGACAGGCGGAGGTTGTGGGTGCTCCCCTTGAAGTGCAGGGCCTTGGGCTCCTCCAGGAGCTGCCCGCCCATCTGCCGCTCCAGCTGCAGCACCTCCTGTGGGGCAGCAAAACACGGTGGGGCTGTGAGGGCGGCTGCCGAGGCCCCTCATGGAGCCCCGGCACGTGTGGGGCTGAGGGACGTGGGGCRAAGGCAAAGCCAGCCCTCAGGTCCCTCTTGAGCCCCGTACCCAGATCTTATGCAGGTAAAGCCACCTTTGTTTATCAGCCGTGGGAAGAAAAGGAACGTGATTAGGAAACCGTTTAGAGTGGGGTTGTGCCAATGAATCAGTTCCAGCATCTTTCCAGTATCCCCGGCTACCTCGTCAAGACGCCTGAAGAGCGCTCAATAGCAATTATCTGATTACTATAGATCTTCATTATGTCCAAATTATCTCCTGGAATGGCTGGAGGAGGATTCATGGCCCGTGTGAGCTACCTGCAGGTGACATCCGTCAGTGTAGAGGGCTGGTGCATGGGCTCCCCCACATCCTCCTACCAGCCTGGGGGTCCAGGAGCCACAWAAACTGCAAGATCACTTGGGGTCCAGCTGCAGCAGGAGCCCCAGGGTGGTGTTTTTAACTCCTCACATGAGCCTGCTCCTTCCCCAGGGACTTCGCTGCTGCTTCTTATGGTAAGAGATGTGTCACTCAGCTCTCTGACTGATCCCTGGTGCTGCTGCCATGAATTGCTGCCCTGCCTTCCCTGTGGTCTATTAGAAACAAGCCAACAACTCTTGAGTAAGATCTAATCGGATTCCCCCGCTCTGCCTGCATTAACTCCCTGTTCAAGGCCACTCTCAGTCACATATTATTACCTCGGGCCTTGAGGAACCATAGAAAATTGCATTATGCAACGTGGGCGCTCAAGAGCAGAGGCATAAAGTTGTTGTGGATTTTGAAGTGGTTCCACTCCATCAGCACAAAGGGCCCCTTCCAATTTTTAAAGGCAAAAAACAAGAAAGGAAAATCGGAGGAGGGAACATAATGGTTCATGAAACCCTGACAGCATCAGCACCTTGACACGGGAAAAAAGCAGCCTGAACATTACACTCACTGCAACCCTAACACGTCACTGTCCTCCTGCTCTTCAGGCAGAGAGTTCCYAGTATCCCGGTGCCAAAGCCAACGCACGGGCTCGGTGTCAGAGACCACTTGCACTGAAAACGTTTTGTGCCATTTACGCTGCTGAGAGCCYCCTGCTGAGACCCACAACCATCCCCCAGCCCCTGCGTGTGGGCTCGAGTCTGGGGAGCTCCCCAGCRAAGGGGAGAGGCCGAGGCCGTGCTCAGCGCGACGATGACGCTGCCCGCAGGCCGGCCTCGACTCGCCGTGCTGCCAGGATGCCTTTGGGAAGTTGCACTGATCGTGATTAAGGAAAAAGGGAAAAAAAGAAATCTCGTAATAACCTTCGTTCCTGCATGTACAGTTGGAGTTACATATTTTATGAGTGCATCTATTATAGATGCCATCTGTATAAATACACATTTACAAAGAGAGAGTATGTTTGTCTATATATTTATCTTGAGGCTGGGCGTGCATGTGCGTGTGGAGCACAGCTGAATTATGCAGTGAGACTAAGGTGCACGCTTATAGAAAGCAACAGCTTTGGGTTATTTTAGTTGCAGATTTCCAGCACCAAAAAAGAAACTCAGACAACGCTGCACASGAAGAGGTGCAATAAAGCACCGTGAATGCAGGCAGTGATTAACCACCCARAAGCTTCTTTTATCAGTATCAACTATTTACAGAGAGGCATTTATATGTTTCCCCCTCTCTGGGSAGCTGGCACTTAGCATGAAAAATACATGAATAGCGAATGAAGCTGGGTTACCTTACRGCCCGTTAAGAACACCGAAATCTTAGGGTGCAGGACACGGTACAGGTAAACAAAAGAAGAAAGAGAGGGGGCAGAAAATAGYGTGAGCGCCCTATGTGAAAATGATAGTGGAGGCTTGTGCTGGGTTGAGCTGTGAGACCCGGGCTTGCTGTGGAGCCCTCCTGACGGGAGAGGCTCTCGAGGGAGCAGAAGGTGCAGCGCTGCTCCCGGGTGCCAGGGCAGCCCCGCGGGTGGCTGCGGCGCCGGCCGTACCTTGAGGGCGTCGCGCGTGTCCTCGAGGCAGTAGACGCGGATGCTGTACTCGAGCGCGGCGGCGGCGGGCGGCCCGAAGAGGGCCAGCGTGAGGCGCTTGGCGGCCGCCTTGCTGGCGGCGCGGCCCACCAGCGCGAACGTGCTCAGCGTCTCCGTCAGGATGTGGCACGCCTCCGCGTCCAGCTGGATGTAGCACGGCGTCGTGAAGTTCTCCTCGCCCACCACCACCACGTCCTGGCGGGAGGGAGAGCGCGTGAAGGCCGCGCGATGCCCCGCTGCTGCTCAGCCCCACTGGGACAGCAAGACCCCYCTCCCCCTTTCAAGCATCTTGCTCCCTTCACCTCAGGTTACTCAAGAGMCAAAATGCCCAATTCCTGCTGTCCTCCTGCGTGGGCATAGAGAGGGGAGGATTTCATGGGGAAAAGTGGTTGGGAAGAAACCTCTTCCCACCCTCACTTCCAGACCTGCAGCTGGGACCTGGAGCTGTCTTTAAGCCATGGGCCGTTAGGCAAATAAGGCAAAATAGCACCAATAGCTTATGGAACAGGAGGTTTGCAGAACTATTCCTTTGTTGGCCAGTACTAAGTCTGGCCAAAGAGTCCTGACACTGAAGCTGGGGATCACTTGCAGCATTCCTATCACTTTCCCAAACACTGATTATTAGCTAGGGCAGTCTGAGCTGCTTGGTAAAAAAGTTTCTTTTTTTCTTTCCCCTGGCATTGAATCTGAAGCTGTTTCAGGTTTTTTATTTCACCTTCTCTTTTCCTTTCTCTCCATGTGATTTCGGCACAGTGTCCTGCCAGGCCCCAAAGCTCCCACTCCAAAATGCCACAAGGCAGGCCGTGTTTCAGGACCCAGAGCAGAACTGTCCCAAGAAAGCCCACCCGTGTGAAACACTGACAGGGAGGACCCTGCTCCTGCTGCCGGGGTTTGACCTCGGCTAGCTGTGGCTTTGCTCCTGGCATCGTTCCTGGAGCTAGTGGCATTCCTTGCCACGCAGGCAGGCTGCAGCACACAGGGGTGAGGGTGGAAATTACAAGCAAATGCAGGCCTGAGTTGCGACCAGCAGTTGCTCCCGGGCACTTTACAAAGCCACGGGCAATGCCTTTACCCTGCCCTCAAGTCCAGGTGACCCTGTGGCGGTCCCGCGCGTGGACGGCGCCGCGCCGCTCACCTCCCAGGGCSCCTGGGCCGCCTGCTGCTTCAGCTGGATCTGCCAGTCGTCGGTGGCGGGCTCGGCGCAGTGGCGCATGCTGAGCACCACGGGCCGCGTGAGCAGCGCCCCGGGCGGCCCGCAGCTCACCACGGGCGTCAGCAGCGTCTGGCTCTCCTCCATGGGCGGCCTGCGCGACACGGGACAGGGAAAGGGCACGTGGAGGCGCCCGGGACGCACGGGCAGCCCCGCGCGCGGAGCAGCGGCTCTCGCGGGCACCGGGTGCCGGGGCTCTTTATAGAGGAGCAGCCAGAGCTGCCCCTGCGGCTTAAAAGGGTCTCAGACCCACGAGAAACCCCGTGGCAAATGGGCCTGTTGGGAGCAGCTGCAGGCAGGGGGAAGCACCAGGATACACATGCACACCTGCTCCAGGTGTTACCCCTGGAAAGCTCCAGGGGTAACAAGGAGCTGCCCCATTAAAAACACACAGAGTGAACAGTGCCAGGTAACCAGGAGCGGGAGACGTGCAAAGCCTTTTAAATATATACATAATATACGCACACTCTCTATATATACACTCTGCTGCTTGCAAATGCGTCTGTGCCTGTGCATGTGTGTGCAAACTATCCCATCCCAACTCCCGAGGAGATTAAAAAAGCCAGGACACACGAGTGACTTTATCTGGAAAAATGGCAAAGGGGGCTGAGGGCAGCTCATCAGCTAACTGCCCAGAGGGCAAGTTCATGATGCAGAACCCCTCAAACTGGGGCCCTGGGTGTGCTCAGCGTGTGCTCCACCAAACCAAGSCCTGCAGCCGTCCCCAGGACTCCGCGTCTTGCCCTTGAGCTAAGGCTTTGGGCCAGCTTGGCTGTATAAGTAGTTGCATGTGCCTTGGTTTTAGTCCAGGCAAGAGAACAGACAGTTACACCTGTAAGGGCTAGCGCAGAGATAAGCCTACAGRCGGACCCTAATTTTGCCCACCTTACCTCTCCCCGAATAATCCACCTATCCTGGAGAAAATCCTACAGGAAACAAAAGCCAAGCTTTTAAGAAATCCCTTTGGAAAGTGGGATGGAGGCACTTCGTAAAACTGTCTCTTGCTGATAAAATTGCTTTTTTTTTTTTTTTTTTTTTTTTTAATAACAGAATTAGAAGGAAAAAGAGGCTGGCACGGAAAAATTGCAATCTATGTAAATCAGTCAATCCAGATGATATGCATCTGCGGATCCTAAAGGAAATTAGCTGCTGAGCTTACCAAATGACTTAACAATTGCTTCTGAAACGCCGTGGACTGGAAACAAACAGCTGCAGGAGCTGCCTTTCAGAAGGGAAGAAAAATACAGCAATCTGGGCAGCTACCATGGATTAGGGTAGCTGTTCTGGCCCAACAAATAGGACACAAACGAGAAAGTATTATCAGATAGAGCACCCCGTTAGGCTCCTGGCACCTGCTGCAGGAGTCTSTGGATTATGCTAAAATCACGGATCATCCTCGTTTAAGACAGAAGTAAATAAATCACTGGGCAGATTTTCAATAAAATGCTGTTTCTTTTCTGGGCTTCTTAAGTGTTTCTCATATGGAAAAAAAAAAACCAAACAGCTTAAAAGCTGCTCACAAAGTGATGTATTCCAACTAGCCTGTATGCTAACAGACAGTACAATACTGCCCTCCAGTCCCCTTTGGAAAAAAAACAGGACACCTTAGGAGAGAGACTGTTGAAAGTCACAATATTTGTATTGAAAGCTACAGCTACGATGAGCAATGGGCTTCATCATCTGCTTAACCTACCTTCATCTAAACGACTGCTGGACCATGAGGAAGGGAGGAAAAAAAATGAAGCCCCACCATAGGTTTTTGGGCTGGATTACAAAACCAGTGGACAAAAAGAATATAATAGGGAATGCATCGTGATGGCTGTAGAAATTTTCATACAGTGCCTTTTAGATGAAAAAAAAAATGAGCTTAAATCAATAAGAATCTGGGCACTGATGCGCGCGGTTAAAGAAAGCTGAGAGGTCATTAAAATAATAGAGCGCTGATAAAGCACAGGGCCTGAAATTGTCTCAGAGTGGAATTAAATTTAGCCACTGCTCTGTGACAAAATTCTGTTAGCCGTTAAATTTTAGGACGCCGATGGAGGATGACATTCTGTGCTTCCCCATTTCCTGCGAGATCAGTGCAAATCCAAAGGAAGAAGCAGTGCACGGAGCCGGGAGAGGCTGTGCAAAACTYATCAGGGCAAGAGGGAAAAGTAATTTGGGGGTTTATATGGGAAAAGGCATGTCCGAGGCCACCCTGCCTTCCCGAGGCCGATCCGACACCACCGCAGTTCTAAGGGTGGGCTGTGGGAGCACCACGGGATATCGGGAATAAAGCCAGAGGACTCGGTGTGAGCAAGGGGATGCCGCAGAGAAGAGCCCTAGCACAAGCGACAGGGAAAAATAAAGGGACAAAACCCTCCTGATGGTTACATCTAATTGCTTCCAATTTCCATCTTAAAACAAAAGGATTGTGCCGTGCTACAGCTAATGAGAGGAGGAACAGATGCAGCGGGCAAGATACGTCCTACGGGAGATACTAGTCTTGCTGCTCGAGGTGTAGCCCCAGCGTTTGCCGATGGGTTCAGCAAACCAGCTCGTTGCCCTGAGGACAGGTTAGGGGGTGCTCATCCACGCCAGGCGCCCCTCCGGCTGCTCCGGAGCAAGGGAATTACCTCCTCTAAAGCAGAGATGTCTATGAGCAGATGTCTTGGAAAGCGTGGGTCCAGCCCGACTGCTTTCAGGCCGCAGTTGCCATCCCTCTCCAAAAAAAGTGCRTCCCCCCGTGCTTTGCTTTGGGCTCTCAGAATTTTTGGGGCCAGCTCTGGGGCCCTTAGCTGCGTGTCTGCCACTCTGAGGTCGCTTTGCTGCAGTCACAACAGATATTTTTGCTTTACGAAGACCTGACTGAGAGTGAAATTCAATCCAGTGTTTGCCACGACTGCCGACGTGCACAGAAACCCAAGGGCCTTCAGGCATTTTTTACCTGTTGCCCCAGCCTGCTCTGCTCTCTGGTTTTCCCGCCACGGCCGAGGCTTTCCTCTTACTACATGCTCCTTCTTGAGTGTCAGACTCGATATCCTGGGCCGGCCTCCTGGCTCCTCTGCCTTGCTGTCTTCTTGGCAGCAAGGAAAGCTGGAAACTGTCCCTCCCCTTCTGCAAGGGCTCTGGGCTTTCTCTGTCTTGAATTTTTTCAACTAAAATGACTGGCACTTCATGAAATTGCCTCCAGGTCACAAAGTAATTTTGTTTATGCTACTGGGATAGAAAAGGAAGGTGGAGAAACCAGATATGGAAGGCTCCCCTTATTTCTGTTTCCCATTACTGAGCTTAGAGTTACTGGTGGAAAGAAAAAGGCAAWATCGCTCCTTGGGTCAAAATCATTGATCAGCTTGGATGCTTCAACAGCATCAACCCAAAGCCTGGCCTGACCATGTGCTATGGAGCCACTGATCCAAATCCTGWCAAGGCTCCCCCGGCTCTTCCCTGTTTCAAGTTGCACAAAACAGCAAGAAAAGTGTGTGCCAAAAGTAATAGGAATACAATCAATACCAGCTATGAACGAAGACACTGCTGCAGCTGCAATTTAGCTGCTTTAAAAGAAGAGGCTGTGAATAATGCATGCAAAGGGGTGGGAGGCCTATTATGCTTTTCTTTAAGCAGATTATTTTAGCATGGGCGACAGACTACCAGGCTCCAGAATAGTGCTCAGTATCACGCAGGGTACAACCATCTGCGGCTCAGCGCATCGCAAAGGCCATGGCAGGGCTCAGCCAAAAACTAGATCTAGCTACGAGGAGGGAAAAGAGGTGCAGCACAGGGCAATGATGGCCAAGTTTCATCCTTGCCATCACAAGAGCCCATTCTGAAGACCAGGATATCCCCTTCCTCTCCATGAGGCACTCTCAGACTGCTGCAGGTGTTATCTTGGCCTTTGGAAAGCTCTCTTTCATACCACGGCTGCCTAATCACTTGATAGACACGGAAAGCTACGCTATGACTTGGCCATTCGTGCAGATATAGGCGCGCAGCAAGAATGTTTTTGGTTTYGTGGCCAAGTTTATCCCTGGCTTTGCCTGCATTTACCTCAAAGTCAAGCAAACAGCCTCAATGCAGTCGGCTCTGCCTAAGCTTATTATCACAGCTTTTTACTGAATGTGTTTTTTCCCCATGCCTTCTTCCCCCCCAGCTAAAGCCCAGGCAAATAAATGCAGTCTTTTACCTCATGTTCTCCTTCCTGTGGACTGTCACATACATTTCATAGACTCGCCCTTGGGGAACAGCCCCTGCCGGGATCAGCAAGCTTACTCCTGCAGAACAGAAAAGACACAMAAAAAAAGCAGATTTGAGAGAAAAAGGGCAACCTGTGACAAAGATTGACAGGAGAACCAGAGGCTGAAGCCTAGGGTGCCAGTTTTTCCCCTGGCTCCTCAGGAAGGCTCTAAAAGACTGCAGCAACCCCTGAGAAAGACTGTTTGCTGCAAGCCTGACTGCCCTCACTGCCAGAYGCTCTGTTCTTATTCCCCCAGTGCGTCTGTGCTCAAGTACTGCACTGGGGAAGAGGGTTTTTCTTTCTTTARAAGGGGCAAAAAGGCTCTCCCTTAAGAAACAGGGGGAAATCCAGTGGAATATTGTCCTAGGAATTAACAAGAACTGTCTGCTTCCTGAACGATGGGCTCTGCGATTGACAGCCTGTCTCCTCATGCTCTCAGTTTCTATTTAGGCTTTTGGGGAGACAGAAGTGGCTTCCCTGGCATTTTGAGGATGCCCCGTCTTGCAGAGGGACTCAAAATTTAGCCATCCAATGTCAAAAAAARTTTCCCAGTACCTCAGAGAGGAGGGTTAACGCTTGTGGACCACTTTTGGTTTCTTCTGTAAAATGTGGAGCTGAAAGAACTGGAAGAAATTTAGAAGAATTAAACTGGTCCAGGGCCACCTGGACCTTCTGTTTGTCCCTTAGGGTCAACAAGCAAAAAAGGTCTGGGGAAAAAGCACAAAATAAGGGCAGAAGGCAGAAAATCTGTGAGACCTTGAGCTTCAATGTCAAGTATTTATGAGCTGTGATCTCCCATGGATCTAGGCAACTAAARAAATAGGGCTGAGGGGACTGCCCAGCACACAGGTGGAGGCCTGAATATCCAGCAGGTCAAGTGCTTTATATTTGATTCCTTCAGCTAGGAGATGTAAGTGCCACCCTGAGCCTGCCCATATTTTGGCCTGAGCCATATTTGCCTGCGGAATGTAATGCAGGCAGGAAAAAAGCCTTCTGAGAATTAGTATTCTGGTGTCTTACTTCAATACCACACAGTCTGCGATGAATTGGAAGTGGAACAACCGATTTGTTTTTTAATTAATTTGTTCTTTTATGTACGATGACAAGATGGAGATTTTCTGGCTTGAAAACCCTTTTCTAGAGCTGCATGAAAGGGAAAGGTCAAGGATGCTGAATCTCAATTCACACAGGCACGCTCTGAAGCCTCCCATATCCAGGAAGGCAGTTACCAGGCCTGTGAAATTCTATTCGGAAGACTGCCAGGACTTGGGAAAAGGACAYGTGTAATAGCTGAGTAGCCCTGAATGGTGGGTCTCAGTAGAGAAAAGGAGAGTCCAAGGTGAGACCCTGGATTTTGTTTTGTTTGTTCGTTTSTTTTTTTCCTGCATGAAAGAAAGCAAASCTAACTGCACGTAAACCCACAAAACAGCTGTGCTTTTAAGCCGAGCTGCCCTTACCTGAATTGGGGATTACTAAGTGGCCCCCTAAGGAGTTGAAGGTCCCGAAGGCAGTGCAAGACGGGTCTGTCTGTCGAGCAAGGCTCTGGTTCTTCATGTTGAGGGTCTCGCTGTCCAGCAGGGACTGGGTAATCTGCGGGGACAGCTTGGAGGAGAAGTCAGAGAGCTCATCCTGCGGGGTCACCGCCCCAGAGGTGTTGTAGACCTTGATCTTCAGGTTAGGCAGTGGATCCAGGATCGGAGAGTTGGTCATGGGGATTTTATCAGAGACGTCATGCAAGGCGTAGACAGGCCCCCTGTACATGGCTGCAGCAGAGGTGAGGTCTGGTGGCACTGCCAGGAGGTCTGCATTGGAAATGAGAAGGAATAACCTTATTACTTGTGGGTTTTTTTCACCCTATTGCGATGRCTTCCTTCTGGGTAAAGATTTTTTTTTTGGGGTAACCATTTTATATTCATACCAAAGGTTACGAAAGCACAGTCCTGATCTCCATCTCGTTTCTGTGCAGCTCCCCAGCTGCCTCCCAGGGCACTGCATAGCCCCAGCCTCTACGGAATCTAATTGTTACACAAAATTAAAGGACATTGCTCTAGGGATTTTTCCTTGGGATTATTTCCCAGGATGCACTCAGATTTCAAGTATGGCATGTTTGGCCTCAGGGCAAAATGTTTTCCATACTCAGTCCTCCTAGTTTTACTAACTAGTRCTCACTCCCTAAATGCTAAGTGAGAATCATTACCTGATTTATCTAATTGGCCTAAAGGCAGATTCCTTAAAATGAAAGATACAACAGATCTGTGAAGTCATCTTGCCATGACTTCCAGCTAGTCTGGAGTTACGACCTTCTGCAGCTTTACAAGTATGATCAACAAAGAAAGCAAAGCTTCTGCTGGTCACCCATGTTGCAAATKCTTCTGTCACCTCGGCTCTTATTTTGATTGATTTTTCACACCCATGTGCAGAGGGAAATAAACAAACAAAGTAACTCTCAGCCTAAAYGTGCGTACTGCAAGAGCCAGTCCCAGCTTTTCAGCATCTGTTTTCTGACCAGTGAGGTGTGAAAACGACCACACCATGCACTAGTGATAAGAATGCTCATCATTAAATTATGCTCTCCTGCCACTTCTGTTACATTGTCTATGGAAAGCACAGTATTTCCTACACTATATTTATGCCTGTGGAGACAGGGCACAATAAAAAAGGCTATTAGAGCAATAAAGGGGGAATGTGTTACAAAACTATTGCAACAGCATCCTGTGATGAATCCCGCCTCTGTTGTTCCCAGCCTCCCTTTGGCTTTTATTTAAACTCAGTCAGGGCCCATGTTTCTTGCAAATGCTGCTGCACTTCAGCCTCTCATTCCCATTTTTACYTCAGAAGCGGAACCCCTCTCTTTTCTGCTCTTGAGCATAACTGGAAAAGGCCAGCGTGCGTTCCTGGCCCTCGAGCACCGGAAGCAAACGGATTTCCTTCCTCTCCCTCCCCTTCTCCTAGTGCCAAGGAACATGCAGCGAGGACAAGAGACCAGATCCCTACGCTGCTCCTGCAGCTCGCGCGGGGCGACGCGAAGCCCGACCTTGTCTGGCGGCCTTGATGCTGACGGGCTGGAAGCCGCCGTTGAGCGCCGCCGAGTCGATGATGTCCGACTCGAAGTCGCGGTGGTTCTTGCGGTAGACGAAGAGGGCCACGGCCACGGAGATGGCCAGGCACACGATGACGGCGATCACGACGCCCACGTAGAGCGCCACGTCGTCCGAGTCGGGAGCGGCTGCGGGAGACACCGCGGGAACCTTGAGGAAAAGGCGGCTCGGCGCCGGCGCGTCCAAGAAAATACAGCCTTTGTATTCTCGTTCCCCGCGGGGATTTACTGCTTTTTTTTTTTTTTTATAGGCGTATTTAAAATCCATTTCCAAGGCTATATAACAGGTCTGTGCCCTTTTGGTGGAGAATGATATTCAATTTCTCTCCGCAACCTGTGCTCTAATTCTTTACCTATCTACTTGTCCACCTGGCCGGGACCCCGGCAGCTGATTACTAAGCATAATGTGCACTTACATAATTAGTGTTATGCAGCACATCAGCCTGATGGAGTGAAATCCATGTCAGGTGGGCGCTTCATAGTTGGTAGTTCATCTGGTAACAAAACCTGTGTTGCCCGTTTTTAAACTTCATGACCCTTATTTTTTTTTTTAACAATAATATTAAAAAAAACCCAGAAAACTCTATTTCCCATGAAATGCCTAGAATATTTGAACTTATCTTTCAGGYTTGTATTTTTCGAGCTGCAATACGCCAAGCCATTTTTTCCTTTCCATACATTTTGAATACAAAAACGAGACAGAAAACAACCTCTTTCCCCCAGCAAAACAGGGAATCACACACAGCATTGTCCCCACTGGCATTAACACGTATGTATGTGGATGCAAGCCGGAGCAAGCACAGGAAGTAATGTGGCAATTTCCCCAAAGGAACRCGGATTTATTACAGCTCTCTGGTGAGGAAACGACTATGCTATTTCTACTATGTGCTTATAACACATCTTCAGCGCTCATTGCAGGCTAATCTCCAACATCATTATCCACTAGTCTTTTTTTTTTTTTTTCCCCAAAAGGTCTGAAGGCATGATCGAAACTTGATGGGTTTCTGTACAGTGAAGAATCCCAATTTTAGGGAGAGAGGGAAATAATAATAATAATAATAATAATAATAATAATAATAATAATAATAATAATAATAATAATAATAATGGAACTGCAAAAACAAATCACATCTTTTTAGTACCCGCTTTTTGTTCATTTAGAATATGTGGAATATTTTACTATATTTTTTGCTCCATGCTTTTTAGCCATTCAAGCTCCTCTAACCACAAGGGTGAGAGATGGCAGATGTTGCAAGGGGCAGATCAAGCCCCATAAGCTCCCGGTACCTTCAAGGTACCAGGCTGGAAATGCTACGGATTTTTCCCTATGAATTTGGTAGTTCAGGAAGTTGATCTCCAAGCTCCATCTCCAACTCCCTTTGGTTCAGAAGAAGGTGCAGTCACTGCAGCTTGTGTTTCGGGCAGCATCCCCTCCTATTTCCCTTGCACATAAGGGCTGTTATCTTTCTAAATCATCTTCCTGACAGCGAAAATGCTGCTGTCAAGCAAGCAGCCTGTGACTTACTCTGCTGAATACGTCCCGCTTTGCCTGATCTCATAGAGCTGGGCAACAGCCAGGCTGGACCCAAGCAACGGCACCCAAATTAGCATCCAGGAACATAAAATCAAACATCAAACTTACAAGAAAATCCATATTCATTCTGGGTTCTCTGTTCAGTTGAAATAGGATAAATGAAACCTTAAAAAGAAAGAAATTAAACAAAAAAAAAAAAGGGAAGAAAATCAAATTAATGATGAGAACAAAAAAGGGAAGCATGAAAAATGGTTTAATTAAAAAAAAAAAAAAAAGGAAAAGAAACTGATGGCACTTTAAAACTCTGATACAGCACAGAAATATGATTTTGCATCCCCTGTCTCTTCCAGAGCCTTACGAAGAATTAATAAGTAGGCAGATTGAATTTCTGAGCCAAAATCGGTCTCGAGTCACTAACTTTGGAGTGCTTAAAGTCTTTCTTTTATTGGGCATAAACTGTAATGGATCTAATTTATTTCAGACATCAAGGGTCATTAGCATATGGAAAGCCTTTTTTTCCATATCCCCGCCATATGCTTTAATTCCCAGGACATGTTCGGCAGGGCTCTAAACAGTTTTTTTATTTAATTACGGTAGCTTGCTGTTGATCTAATAGAGCTAAAGGAGACCTGTCGTCACCGGTCAGAGGTTAAATACCCATTTGCCGAGCCGAGGCCCCGCAGAAAGCCCTCGCTTTAGATTTCCTTGGAATTATTTTATCCGCTCTTACCACGCGCTCGATAGGAATTCCTCGGGGAGCGAGGAATTTGTCAGCAAACTGGAAACCGAGTAGCTTCTCTGGAAATTATCAAAAAATCAATAAGCCCCCCGGGGGCCATCGTGCTGTTTGTTTTAAATCTTTGCAAGCCCCCTACAATCGACCAAATCGTGGCACAATTCACGGCTGTACTTTGGACCGGGTGAGCAACAGAGGCCGCTTTCCTGCGGCTTTTCCCCGCGTGGCTCTTCCAGCGGGGCCTGCTCCACCTGGGGAGCCCTTGCTTGCCCCTTGGAAACACATTCCAAGGAAAACATATCCCCCTTTCCCTACTTCTTCTCTCCTCTGGCTAGTTTTGCACCCAGGGCGGTGCCTCCTTCCAGCAGCCGCCACTGAAGCAGCACAAAGAGCGACGCTGCCTGGATTATTTTGGCTGCTACTGAAATTGTGTTCTCCGTTGCAGGGAAAATGGAAAGCCAAATGCAAGTCTTCTCAGCAAAGTAAACAAGTCTCATCTTCAAACAGGCTGCGAGAAATGAACTTCTCTGCAACCTCCTCACAGGCCCTGCCTGTCACAAACGCTTATTTGCATCTTACARTTTTACACAGATCCTCCTCGTGATCGCTACAAAGGGCGTCTTTGCAGCTACACACGAGCGACACAATTTTCCTCGCCAGAGCTCCTTTATGCAATATGCAACGGCACGTCTCCTTAAACGGGGGGAAACGGCGGGAATGCTGCTCGTGGCTCCCATTAGCCTTGCAAAGCAGCAGGCTTAGCAAAACAGGCCTGATTTTAGGCTCCCGGGTGCACCTCGCACCCAACCAAGTGCTGAATTCCTGCCCAACCCTTCAGCGCAAACCAGCCTGCTCAGGGGCCCACGAGGACATGTTTTTAGCCTAGAAAACACATATTCTGTACAGATACAGGTAAGGAAGGCAGGGCCAAGGTGGAAGGGGTTCCTGCTCGAGAGGCATGCAGGAACCTGGGGCACAGGCCGTTGGCCAAGAGTCAAGGTTGSCCAAGAGTCAAGGTTGGCCACGAGGCACCCGGGCAGGAGGTTTCATGGCACCTGAGGTAAATTTTCACTGCTTGGCGGCCGGGAGAGACACGCTGGAGAACAGAAGCACTTTTGGAAACTTGCTTCCCATGAGAGGCTGGCCGCTCGGCCGCCGAGCACGGGCACCGCTTGAGGAAGCCGCTTTCATGCGGGTCCCTGTGGCGGCGCCTTCAAGCAGCCAGGAAGGACATTCTCTTCACATAATGAGGGTGACCTGCTGAGATCAGTACCTGAAATAATGAAAAACGACTTCCCTTCTTTCTTCAAAGCAGCCGCGGTGAAAAGAGATCTTTCTCTTGTTTCCCTTTTTTCCCCCTTCCTGTATCAATAGCGCTGCTCAGCAAGTACCTGAGGGACTTTTACCAGGATCATCCTAATTTTTAACAAGGAGGAGTGTGGAAAGGTGCCATTGGGTCACACTCTACGAAGGCTGCTGACTCACGCCGGGAGCAGCTGGTTTCCCAGCGAGCAACTTGTTTTGAGCAAAGTTATTTAAGCGTCTCCCTACGGCTCGTTGGGAATGTACATTTTCAAAGGGGCTTTTGATGTTTTGTTGTGTAACCTGCTGCTGGACCACTAAAATATCAATACTCACGCTTTGCACATGAGCTCAGAGGAGGACGCTTTGCACATGAGCTCATTACACAGGAGCTCAGAGGCTTAGCAGAACCAGATACTATTTTCCCTCTCTTACAAAAACTTTGATCCAAGGCATACCTAGAGAATCAGGCGGAGGCTTGAGCTGTGCACAGACATGGTACCMCTGTCCTTACACAGTAAATGCATTTGTTAAAAAGCCTTTAATTAAGTTGATATTTCTCCACGTATTCTACTCTATATTCTAYTATAGTCTTGTAAACATGTTCTCTGTCCCTGTGGAAGTGAAATATTCAAGGTGGCCTTTTTAAGCTAAAGTGATGGTAGTTGCACAAATCCTTTGTACAAAAGCAGATACTTCCTGATAAAGGACATCAAGTAGGCATTGCCTATTTCCTTTCTGTAAAGAACTATCCAGAGCCAGTTAAACAGCTCTAGACTGATGTAACACGCTGGGAAGAAAAATGGAGAAGGGCYGAATGCTACATTGTAGTGCAAAAAATTAAAAGCATGCAACTTGGGTACACAGAAAAGACTTCAGCAGGCTTTTTATCAATTTAGTCYAACCCAATTTCGGCATGAGTCGATTCTGCACTGGGGAATTGTCTCCATTTATCCGTACTGCCTTTGAAGCTCATCTGACTGATGTGGAGCAGCGTGAGCGCGGAGCACCCCAGCCATGAGAGGTGCAGCTTGAGGTGCAGCACACGTCCTGCACGCAGCGTGGCCTCACACACCTTGCTCTGAGCTTCAGGGGGACCCCAAGTGTGCGGCAATGGAAAATTCGGGATCTGGGAAGGAAAACGTGTGGAGATTTTGGCACTGACTCCTTCTCTGAACCTCAAGCAGGCCGACAGTCACCAAAGCAACTTTTCTAATGTCTTCTACCTCTCGATACATTCACGGCACATCTGGGGCTGGGGCCTCGGTGCTCAGCCTGGCACCATGTATCAGGATGAGAAACATCCTGAAATCCTGTGTTTGATTTCATGGAGAAAGGCATGAATATCCCGCCCTGGCTTGGGAAGTGGCTCATGTAAGGGGCAATTTTTCTCCCTGTAGTACAAGACACAAGGTCTCTGGCAGGGCTTCCTCCATACTAAACTTGGTAACCCCTTCTTTCTCTTAGTAGCTGCCTTTGGAGCAGGCCCAATTTGTATTACTGCCTAGCAATTTTAGTGTGGATTATTCACCTTATAAAAGGATTTCGTTGCGCGCAGAAAATAAAATCTTTACATAAAAAAAGGAGAAAAAACTTCCACATTTCCCTTTTGTGCTTTACTTTGCTGCCTGTGTAACTGCCCTCTCTCTTTTCCCTGCAGGTAACCGTGTGGGATGGCAGTGGAGGTGAAGGTGATCTTTTTGGCACTTAATTACTGCTSCCATTCAATTTCGGTTATATTTACAAAAATACCTACTAATGCCCTGCAATGCAATTGCTTTATGCCATTATCTGCAGCGGTCACAGTGAATGACACGCATTTTGAGACAGCATCAAGGTTAGCAAGTGTTTCAGGCAGGCGCTTTCATTTAGTAAGGCAAAGATTGCACAAAACACTCGGCGCTCCTCGTTCCTTTAATGCACCCTATTTGAATCGGGCACTATTTGCCTCTGATCTCCAGAYACCCGGTGCTTTATCCTCGCAGCTGCGGCTTCAAAAGGAGCTCAGGCCACATAATTACATGGCCCTTTTGCAAGCCTAGCCCCACGACGTGTCTCTCTACCATCCTGGCGCAACGAGYCCAACAGGTTGATCCTAATACATCCTAACAGTCCTTTTCCCCGACCCCGTTTGGTTCGGAAGTCAAAGCCCTCAAATTGCCTGCAGGGGAAGAGGAGGGCACTCGCTCGCTGCTTTGATGGTGAACAGGGATGAGCTCGCACAGGCGGGTGCCTAAAATCAGTAGCAAACACTTCTAGGACGAGTCAAAGCAGCCACAGACACTAAGGCCACGTGCACGGTGGCATCAGCGTTGATGGCAACGAGCCTTTGCTTCCCTATGGCACTTATTGCTGCCAAATGAGCTCCAGTATCCGCACACGTCCACATTTCTGTTTCCTGAGCAGTTGCAAACAGCAAGCGCTAAATTATTTCTGGTTTAAATTCACATAGCAAGGTCTTTTTCAGCCCTAATTCGGTATTTCCCTCGGAGGTTCTAGCTTCTTCCTCTTGTCCTGCAGTTATCTGCAACTCAAAGCCAGCCCATCTTGCAGTTCTGTGAAACTCCACACTGCTCAGAACAGGCACCCAGAAGTTTTCAATTCACAATACCAATATAAAGAGACATTTTTGAGAGAAGAAAACACACTGCCTTGACTGTAGCAAACTGGACAAACTTCTATCACGTCCTTTACTGCAAGGGACGGAGTTAAGGGTGCAAGAGCTACCTAAAGCAAACTGCTAGTTCTAACTGTGAGTGCTCTGCCTTCATCACTTAACACGTTGCTAATGCAGATTTACCGTGGAATAAGTATTAACAATAATTTGGGGACTGTAATTGCTGCTAATTTTTTCCCTTCCCTGCTAAATCCTAGAAACTGTAGCACATAAACAAGAAGAAACAGCCAATACAGGGTGATTTGTTGTGGTTAAAAAGGAGGAAAAAGCAAAGTCCTGAGAGCTGCCAAAAAGCCTCGGAGTGAATGCGCCCAGGCCCTTCCTACACTTTTTATTCTAAAGAAAGCCCTTCATGTGCACAGTAACGATGCTCAAGGTCAGATATGGTATCAGGCAGCCCAGAGATAATGCACAGTAATTTATTTTCCTTCTGAGGACTAATTATTGGCATGTTCAGGGCGGGCTAATAAACAGGGAGCTGGAGGCTTTGAGACAGATTATTTACTTAGGTGTTATCTGAGATCGTCACAGAGTAGCTAGCTTAAATGCAGAGTCTCTCCCATTCTGTCCCTGAACAGGAGTTTATGATATTCTATAATGACGACTGCAACGATGTTTTCATTTTAAATTAGATTTCTGACATTTCACTAACATTGTTGGAAAGGTCTTGCTTCGGTTTAAACATGCATATCATCTATATAGGCAGYGGGAGAGATGGATGAGCTGGATAACTTGTTACTAAAATTTGATGTGGATTAGAACAGGCAATTGTGACATTATGCAAGTGTTTACAGTTAAGGATTTTGACCTTTTGGCTCAATCTTATGCCGCTCTTTAATACCTCGGAAGCACAGCTCCTTAACATTAGGTTTGTTATGGATGTCTGACAACAAAACAAACACGTCTAGCATGGCAATTTTTTGCTTGCCAAGCCCGTGTTTGCAGTGATGTCCTGGGCTTGCTCTGCTTTGTGGCTGGCCCTGGAGGGAGCTGAAATACAGACATGTGTCAGCACTGAGGAGCGGCTGCAGGGCAAGCAGCTGGGGAAGGCAGCAGCAGCCGAAGGGCGAATGAAAAGAGGGCATCGAGGCTGCCAGGACTGTTGGAAAAGATGCTCCTGGGAAGCAGGGCTTTTCCAAATGGGTGTTCAACAACATGCACCAAGATCTTTGGCAGGGCTATAAGCACACAGGCAGGGAAACCTCTATACTCGGGCTTTACGGCTTGCGGCCTTAGACATCGTGGTGACTTTGGAGCTGGTTTTCCAGCTGTTTATCCCCCAAATTCCTGCCTTAACGGGAGCTGCATTTAAGCATCCCGCTAACGCTCCTGCTAGTCCTCCACGCAGGCACAGATCCTGAAGGGCATCTGGTTTCTGCTCCTGATGCTGCCTCCGGCTTGCTGAGGAGTCCTGGGCTGCTCCTGCAACCTCGCTCTGCCAGCCCCCCAGGGCAAAGCCCATCTAAATGCTGATTTCTGCCACTGTGCTGCTGCTTTTCCCAATGCATCAGTTAGATCTTATTATAAGTTTGCGTTTTTCTTTCATCTCCTTGTGAAACTTCTCTTTTTTTTTTTTTTTTTTAATGTGCAGAGTGAATATGAGAAGAGTAACAGAAAAACACAGGGGAACTAGAAGGATGAAAGTTATAGACGGAAGACTTTTTCTTTTCCCTCTCCCTGCATGGCTGTAATGTTTTTGAAATAGCTGAGTTTGTTTCCAAAGAGCCTACAGATTTTAGAAGACTTACATTTCATTAAAATTAATGGGGGGGAGGCCCTTTCTGGAGTGACTGGGGTAAGTGACACAGACCCCCCCTGCCCTGGTCTTGGCTTGTGGCCGGGCACTGCTGTTTCCTCTCAAAGCTTTAATCTATTTAGAGCAGCAGCTCTTGTGGGCAAGGATTCTCACTAGGCATTTCTGGAGTGCCCACCAGACTGTGGACACTTCCCAGCTGGGGTTTCCTCCTGCTGCTTTAGTAATATAAATAACCAAGACTTGTAACTCAGAGAAGCACATACAAATTCCCCTGGCTGCCACAGCATTACACAGCAGCTGGTTAAAAATAGAGCTGCACATCTCTCCCTTCTCCTATCCCAATATCAACATTAGGGACAACCTCCTGCAGCAGCAGATGAGGTGATTTCTTCAGACGAGCAAAACCTCCCCCTGCGAGGGAGCCAGGCCAGGTGGATGGGATCACTACGCCGAGAGGCTGAGCACGTCAGGAGCTCTCTCTTGACCCACGTGCTCCTAATAAAAGGTTTTATTTCCTTGCCGTGCACACACAGGCTTGTGTTGCAGTCTCCCTCGAGAGGGCTTGGCTTGCCTCCTGCAGCCTCAGAAACATTTGCCCGGCTCTTCACACACTAATCTGCTCGGCGGGACCAGAGGTCCTCGACAAACTGCTCTGCTCTATAATTCTTCACTCAATGCCTGCTTTCAAAACAAGCCAAAAAGGGAAACAAACGCTTATTCCATCAGAAGACTCTGGCACGTCGCATTAAACAAGCAGGGCATGTGCAGAATACATATGCTGCAGGAAGACAGAGATATTAGCACCAGGTTAACCTCGCTTTCTGCTCCAGGTTCTGCGSATAAACAAGCACAAGTCGGGAAAAGGGCACCCCGTAGTGCACGAGCATGACAAACTGTGGCTTTTTTTCTCATGCTTTGATTGCTACCGTTATAGGAGGAAACACAGTCTTTCAGAGAGAGGATTTCACAGCCTTTGGGAGGCTCTGTGCTGAGCACCCCTGAAGGCATTTGGGAGGGTTAACTGCAGGGCTCCTGCTCCAAGCAGCCCCCCGTGAGATGTGGGGCCTCTTTCAAGTGCGTCGTTCAAGTGCACCGAGGCACTTACCACAGCTCTCCTCCCTCGAGTGGGAAATAATGCAGCGAGGGAAGCAGTAATGCAGCCAGAGTGGGSGGTAACTCGCCAGTTCTTCTGGTACCTGCCGCGCGTTTTGTTCCAGAGACTGTATTAATGCTATTACACCAATTACGAGGAGGTCGTAATGGGGCCTGCTAGGCAATGCCGTGTATTTGGRAACTTAAAATAGTAATGACTGCCCTAAATTTTCACCACAGCTGCTTTTCTTTTCCGATGCAGCCTTCTGTCTCTCTGCAGGCTCTCTAGTTTAATGACTGTTCATCCTTTCATGTTAAGGGAAAAATACTAACTACTGAATAAGGGAGCGTGTGTGTGTACTAGCAAGATCATTAGTCTGAATAAATGTGACAGCAGAGTTGTGCTAGAAATACCACAGCTAGTGGTAAGCACAAACTACAGCTTTGRGTGTAAAATACTGTAATTACAAGGGATGGAGAAAGCGCCACAGTTTTTATCCCCACAGAAATCGATAGTGGTGCAGACTGCTGCTCTTTGCTGGAGCAGGGGCAGTCTGATGAAAGAGCTTATTGATTTACCCAGCTGATGCCGTGTTTGTGAATAATAGACTGGAAGAGAAAGGGCCTGTAAATTAGACTCATTCAATCCAACATTATTTTCCTGGSTATCTACAGTTATACGGGGACACAGAGGTACAAGGGAGCTTTGGCCAAAGCAACACCTAGTGACGAGTAGGTCACTAGGAGCAGAAGCTGCCTCCTAGTGCATTGACCCGACTATATCTGCTTTGAGAGTGAACCCACAGGTGTGCACGACGGGCTGGGGCTACGGAGGATGTGCCGTGGTCCCCAAGCCGGGAGCAGCTTCAACCCCACGGGCCCCTGAAACACTCACTGCGTCTCAGGAACGGAGAGCAGAGAGAGGTCTCTACGTCTCAGAGCTCTACGAAACCCCRCGGGTGGAAAGACACTATTGCAGCAGCGCCAGCAAATCCCAGCCCTGAAGGTACCTGGAGCCGAGCAGCTCAATAGGCAACTATGCAGTTTTCACTACCATTTTTATACACACATTCATGAAGCAGCACAGGACTCACAGTTGCCTCGCTCCCTGCCCTGCTGAAGACCTCTGCTTTATACTCAGTATCCACTTTCATAAATAAAATGCAATATACCATCAACAGATAAATGAGATCCCTACRGGGCTTTTATTCGGTAGTGCCATTATATCTGTTTTTCCACTAGATTTCTGCTTAAATGACTCTCCCTATGCACATACACAAAAATGACATGCACCTGTCTAAATACAATCTGATAGTAAAGAGTTCTTCTGCATGGGGGACATACCTTTTTTTCCTAATTTATCACAGTGGCTTATTCACAACACTGGAGCTACAAGCACGTTAGCTCTCCCACTATAAAAAATGCAACAAGACATGGCTCTTCTTCTCCCTCTCTTTGGAAAAGAGAAAAGAAGAATATCYGAATCTTGCCTTCTCACCTCCACATAAAAACTGAAGAATTACAGCTTTTTGTGCTGCTGCCATGGACTGACAGTTTTAACAAGCTGAAAGTCTTTTCTCAAGCCACTTGCTTCAATTGCCAAGCTCGGATGCTGAATGGGGTTTAGAGAGAAGCATCAGCTGGTGTGTGCCACATGCATGTGCAGGACCTTGACGAAGGCAAAACCACTTTCCTCTAGAGAGCTCTTTTCTTTCTTTATTTAATTCAGGTATCCCTAACCAGCACAGAATTGCGTGGGCCCTTGGCATTTGTGCAGCTGCGCAGGTGGGGAAGGACACCAGGAAGAGCTTTTCTTTCTTTCCCTGCTGGAGCACCTACTCAAGGGCCAAGGACAAGACGGCTCAGAACAGAAGCGTTTATGACACCCAAGTACAAAGCRAGGATCAAAAAGGCACCGTGAGCACCTTTCCTGTGAAGGCCCTGATCATATCGCAGGGGCTGGTATGGCTACATGGGCTCCTTGGTTGTGTGGGAGGGCACTCGCCGTGCTACGTGTGCACCTCTGTTTGCCTTGACATCCCCTCCCCAGGCTTCCTCCCCCGGAGGGAGGCAGCGCCCAGCAYAAACAGCAGCTTTAGAGCCTGACAAGGGGGTGGCTGCCGTCCCTGCCGAGCCGCAGCRCGGGAGATGCTTCCCCTCGCCTGGCAGCAGGATATTCCCTCCGGAGGGGCACCTTCAGCTCTCCGGGACGCTCTCCCTAGGGCACGTGGCCAGGGGGGCGCCGTGCCCGCGCGCGCACTTACTTTGCATGCAGAGCCCGTCCGTGCAGTTYTTGGACTGCAGCACGAGCCCCTCGCAGTCCTTGCCGCCGTTCTTGGGCGCCGGCGCCGCGCACTCCCGCCGGCGCCAGTGGGTGCACTCCGTGCCGCACGTGGACCACTTGCTCCAGGACGTCCATTTCCCATCCACTGAGACAAGGGAAGGAGGCAACTTTTTAGGGCACCGTGTGTGTGTGCATATGTGTGTGCAAGAGGCAGCGAGCCAGCAATGGGCACTCCTCTGCACACACCAACCTGCAGCTCGCAGCCCTTTCCATGCAAGTCGTTAGGCTGTGTCAACCAACCCGCAGAAACAAGTCACTCCTCACCTTCCTCAGTGATATTCCTGGACTAGCAACACACTTTCACCTACTCTCCTTTCTCTTTGCCCCATCTCTGCTCCTTCCCCTCCCTTTTTAGAAAACTGCCAGCAGTTTATSCATGGTTAAAGCGTATGAGAAGACAAATGGCTTGGGAGTCTGTGATTTTTTAATGCAGAGATTAAAATTAAACTTGACAAGAAAGTCTTCTCTAATGGGGAGGTAATTAATGTTAAATACGGTACACTAAAAGAAATATCTAAAGGCTGTGATATATTTCGCCTGAGCAGAGTGAGAGCTATGCYTAGCACTTTTCAAAATCCCATAAATGATTTCCAAAAGTGTTAATAGCCAAGGAACAAATTAGGATTTAGGATCAGGAACAAATTATTACTCAGTAGCCAAAGAATAGATTAGGTAACTGTTCCAAGGAAAAAGACTGAGCTAGGAGTCCGTCACTTGAAACAATGGTCGGAGCTGAAAATTTAGCTTTCTACATTTCACAAGCCGAAGAYGACCTTGTGCAATCAGTATTGCCATTGATTTCAGTGGGACTGACATAGGAAAGCCCTGCACAATACGACAGAGGCAGAAAAGCCACCAGCTAAACCCTGTGTGTCCTGAATAATGTTGCACTTGCGAGTATATGAAATCCTCTGAAAGACGCAGATACAGGACTCTGCCCAGCATAAATGCCTTTGCATTTGACACCAGGTAAACCTAGGCTTCCAATTTAACATCCACTGTGACAGTTGGTCTGAACGGACATTGCAAGTATATTTAGATCACAATCACTTTCTATACTCAAATTCTGGTCGTTCAGACCTTTCAACCCATAAAGAGCTTTAGCTCCTACAATTTGAAGCTCTGCCGGTTTCCTAAATCCCCTGAATTACCAGGACCGAGTCAACGATGCGAGCTTTGTACAGGAGTGGGTCTGAATCCCTTGCTGCTTAGTATAATGTCTGCTCACTGCTTTATCTACTTATGTAATATAATTTCATGTTAAATCAGTGAAATGCTTGGGGGTTTTTGTTGTTGTTTTGCTTTGTTTTTAAGTAAAGAGAAGGAGGTTTGGGCAAACAGTATCTGCCTCCTGAAGTGTTTGGTGTCAAGGGCCGTGTGCGACGCTGGCCCCCGGGGCTATATACTGAACCTGGGCACAGGGTGGTGCACGCGATTTTCTGCACGCTCTGGCCCTCGCAGAAGGCGCCGCCGTTGAGCGGCGCGGGGTTGGTGCAGGTCCTCGTGCGCTTCTGGAAGCCTCTCCCACAGCGGCTGTTACACACTGACCACTCCGTCCACGTCGACCAGCCTCCGTTCACTGCAAAACAAGGCACAAGAATAGGGTGGCTTAATATACTGAGTCGTTTTGGTCAGCACAAGAGTGCCTCTAGCCCCGTGYCCTGCTGTCTCCAAGAGCGGTGACAAGTGATGCCTTGGGGAAGACTATGTCCAGGACCACTGAATAAACACAAGGCCACGCTTCCAATGTACAGAATGCGCCGTGACCCAAAGTCAGTGTACAAGCCCATGAAATGCTGACACTGAACAAAAAAAAACATTTGACAGCYATTACAGCTGCAGGGTGACTTGTCCCTTTCTGGTCCAGCACTAACCCCCAAGCTGAGTGTGTGCAAGTGAAGCCGTGGGTGCTCGGGGTGCACCTAGGGCCGCGCTAGCCCGGTAGCCTATACTCCGAAAGCTGCATCATTTCCCAAAGCAAGATAAGCCCTGGTCCAGCTTGTGCTCAGAACAACTCGTAACCCACACACGCTGAGACACAGCAGTGCTTGGAACAGGCTGATCAGGAGCCCATGATTTCCTTTTCCTTTCTTTGCAGAAGGCAATTTGAGGCTGTCAGGGCAAGTCTATCCACCCTCCACAGAGAGAGCTGGTGCGTACGCACGTCCCAGCATTACTATGACCAGGATTTAAGCTGCTCAGGAAGAATATGCTTTTTATTTCTGGAGCAGGGGAAGGGATTTATTGCCGACTCTCTTTTTTGAGAAGGCATATAAATGGCTGCCCCTACATACGTCTCTTGACTGCACACCAAAAAATAATATCATATATGTATGAAGAAGAGTTGCAATATGCCTACATCTTTATAATGCTGCATTCATCAGCGTTACAAAACACAGCGCTCATGCAAAGTCCATCCCTCGGCATCACAGACGCTGCTAATCAGCTCAATTCAGCCAGTTTTCTATAAAAACTGAGCTAAAAGGCCCTCATTGTAACTTCAGGGAAGCAACTGCTTACAATTAAATCCAACTGCCGCCCTGCATATGAAATGAATATTAGGGATAATCATAGGGATTTTTCTCCCCCTACTTCTCTATCCTATAATTAAGCTGATTGCCAGGAACACCAGCACAGTCAGCTGGCGCGTTGTCAGAGCAGGTCTCACTCCCTGGGTAGGAGGGATTTTGCAGAGGCAGAGGCCGGGATGGAGACGGAGCTGCGGGACGAGGCAGGCACTGACCATAGACGATCACGGTGGCCGTCGTGCTCTTCCTCTTGGCCACGATGTTCTTGGCCACACAGGTGTAGTTGGCCGTGTCGGAGAGACGGGCTTGCTTGATGATCAGGTTGTGATCGATGGTGATGTAGAAGTTGCGGTCCTCCACCGGATCGATCACCTCCTCGTTCTTGAGCCACTCTACCTGGGGGGTTCAAAGGGACAGAGGGAAGGCAAGGATTAGTCCTCACCAGGACAAATGCGTGGGATTATGTGACGTGTCCCAGAAAACACTGCATGTCCGAGCCTTAAAGCCTTAAGACTGGACCTACAAACACAAATCCCTCTTTATCATCGGCTCCCCAAGGCTTCTTCCTCGCTCTTTTGCATTTCTTGCCCAATTAGATAGTAAATAACGTGGTAAACTTGTATGTATCCATACCGGGTTGTGCACAGTGACGCCATGCTACCGCAGTAGGTAAGAAATTACAAACAAACTACAAATGCAAAAATATTTTAACTTATACACATACTCACACGTATATGCCTATTATCGTTTCACTGGAATCAGGATTAAACAAAATAAAGACAGCTGCCAAGGAAATAGGGAATCACAAAGACTACATAAATACTTGCTTTTCCTTTTTCTCTGGGTAAGCTATACTTTATTTTAATAAAGTGCAATTTCCTTGCTTACACAGAAAAATATTTTTCTATGTGATTTTTAATCCAGACAATGTTCCCTTTATTGCCTTCCCAAAGAAAAACCCTATTATATGCCAGCAGGCCGTGCTGAGCCGCCCCCATATGATTTGGCCAAAAATCCAGTAGCTTGTTTTCATTTGAGGGGAGCTGCTTGCAGRGAAGGGCTGGGGCTCTGCACGGATCAAAGCCGGCCCTTCACGTCCCTGCCTCACTCCAGCTTGTGCCGGGGATTTAATTAAAGGGAGAAAAACACAAACTCATTCAAGTCATCACAAGGTGCGAGCTGGCAAGACCAGACCCGCTCTGCCACAGGTATGTGCAGAGCTGCTCACATACATGGAGGGGTTGATGCAGCCCACAGCGATGGCCATGGGGACCATGGGGACACATTCCAGGGTTTCTCCCAGCTTTGGGCATGGAGGCCTCCCTTCCATTTCTAACAGAGCTGCCCCGGCCTCGCAGAGSAACGCAGAGCCCACGTTCACATTAGTAATTCCTGTGGCACTCTCTCCAAGCGCACATACGTGCAAATTCAGCCTGGCTCTCAGTTGATGAGGCCAAATTAAAGCTGTGAGCATTAAATTCCCTTTCATCTGTGCAAAACCCAAGATTGCAGSAAAACAGGAGTTGCCAATATCAGAAAATAGAGACTCGTTGTAATTCGATATCCAGCCTCTGGCTGTTTGTCAAGTCTCTTAAGAAAAAGATCTTTCTCGCCTAATGGCCCACAGAACTTGCTAACAAAAACAAATATTAAGTTTGAAAAATATCAGGCTTCCTTTTTTTTCCTGAAAAATATGTTTTGGCAGTATATCGGTAACCCAAAATCTGTGTGTGTGTGCGTTTTTCAACTCAATCTCTTAAGGACACATCTTTAACATACCTGATTCSTTCTTGAACTGGCTTCCAAACAGAGTGTTTATGAGGTCCTAAGTCTGTTCATGTAGCAAAATATAATACTATTCAGTATTCATCCTCAAGGGGGRMACCGAACAGATGACRGATGATTTCAGAGGAAAAAATGTCTCCTTTCRCATACATTTCAGCAATGAGCATAARGAGTAGCACAAAAAAGAGCACCCCATTCCAATGATAATTAGCACGTGTATTTTCTCCTTCACTCCCTGAACAAAYGCTAACCAATTAAAACACATTACAATATTCAAATAAGATCTTGGTTAGTAGATATTTTCAGTTACTAATGACCTGTTTTTTTTCCCCAGAGCTGCTGGATATCTGCAGAGTACAACCTCTGGCCTTGGGGCAGGTTCTGCTTCTTTTTGGACACAGGTAGCCAAGAATGGTGGGAGCAGTGCCGCATTTTTACACAAGCAGGAGCTGATGTGGGGAAACGCAAGAGAGGAGGGAGCAACGGTACACGGAGACGCCGTGATTTATGAGCGACAACTACGCAGGCTCTTATCGAAGTGCTGGAGGTAACCATCTTGGTCGACGTCCTGTCGCTTCTGAGGTCTCAGCCCCTCGCTGAGGTGGGCTGCTGAGCGCGTTGACGCAGGAACTCGCCCCGCATTTGGCGGAGCGCGAGTAAGGCCGCGGCGCGCGCCCTGGGCCCTCACGCGAGGCGGGAGGGAGGGGGCGGCCGCCATTTTGCGCGCCAGGCCCTGCGGCGCCTTTCCTGTCGCCGCGCGCCCCGCCGAGAGACAGATGTGTTGTCTCTAATTRTTCGCTGATTGGTGTCAGGAGAGGCATTAACATAATTGGCACATTTGTTCTAATTAACAGAGGGAACCTGCCACATGCCGCCCCGCAGGAAAGGCGAGAGCGTCAGCGTCCCGGCTTCTGGTAGTAGCAAGTGCTCCGTGTGCCTCTCACTGGAGGAAATCCATGGGAATGAGCACAGCACCAGCCTGTCCTAGTATAGCTGCAGCTATTTCGGGTACCTTGAGACCTAAGTGCCTTTCTGAGGAAYGTTATTTGATTTTTGGATTTGGTTTCCATCGTACTCAATCCTAGAGYTGCCCACTGAAGAGGATGCTGTGTCCACTGCATACCGGTTTCTGGAAACAGATTTCTTACTTGTTTTAAGGTTAAAAGAAGAAGTCACCCCCCAAAAGGCAGAAATTACAGCCAGGAGAGAACACAAAACACATATTGGGAACGAGACAGCGAGTGCAAACCACAGTGACACTTTGTTCTGTTGTTGTCACTTTGCTTCTGCTGCCAATAAGGGGGATTTGTTTTCCTGCTGTGGAAACACTTCCTTAATTGCACACACATCCAGCTTGCCGCCTGAGCACTAAAATCTATATGGAGTGTGTGTACAGCTGCGGGATGCGCCTGAGCCTCTTGCAGCCTCGCTTTACGCACGGCGGGGAAGGGAAGCCGCACAGAAGGATAAACTTGAGAGGCCAGGGGGGACCGCACGGCTCAAGTAACGCCATGCGGAGAACTTTATTGTTCAGCCCTAAAACCAAGCACAGCTCAAGGCATCCTTAGCCAAAAGTGGCGGCTGCAGGGCCACCAGGAAACGGGTCCCTTGATGTGCCCACCTCCCTGCACAGGTAAGGGCTCAGCGCCAGAGATGCTGCTGCTCTTCTTCAGCTATGACAGAAATGGATGCACAGACAGGCAGGCAACCTCCTTCCTCACAGCATCAAGTTATTTGCTTTCTATGATGCTGAGATTCAGTAAGGGAAAAAGATGATGGGGTGACCGAGGTCCCTAAAACTGGCACTCTTCCTAAAACCTSCATCCATTTCCACTGTCTGCTGTATTGACAGTTCCTCCAATGTCCTATCAATTTTAAGGCTATACAGGGTTTTCTCCAGGTAAGATTTGTATTTTTGGGTGATAAAAGACTGTCAGCTTTAGAGGCACCTGGAAATTTAGGAGCAAAATCTGATCAGGCAACTCATGACTGCCAGCTAAAGTACACTTTGTACACAAAACTTTGGGAATACCTCAGTTAAAATATGGAAGTACCATAATTCTTCACACCTATGGCGTGCACTAAATCTGCAGAATTTACTGCTGCAGGAACTGATGAAGCCAAACGCCATGGGACTCAGCTTCCAGTAGGGAATGAGGTTGGGCAATCTCTGCCGGTGCTAATGCTGGTACCTYGGACACAGGCAGGGCTGTCGGCTACGGGAGCAGTGTCAAAGTAGGACCAGACGGAAAACCCCATGGAAAAACGCTATTAAAAGCAGTGAGGGGTGGATTGGGAAGTGAGGGGAAGCAGGTCGGGCTTGCCATGCCGCTCTTCCCAGCCTCTCAGCAGCAGGAGGCAATTCCATGACACACGGCAAGGCACCAGCAGAGGCACCGCCGTCTCGCGGCTCATCAGCATTTGCAGCCACAGGCTCCTCTGATCCGCTCTCCGAGAGCTCGCTTTCCTGCCGGGAATACAAAACACGGCCTCGGCGACACACACCTGCGTGGAGCTGCATACACATGAAGCTCCAATTAAGGGATAACTGCGGCAGAGCACACGCGGCTCTGGCGCAACAAAGCAAACAGCAGTCGTATTAATAATCAATTAGGTGGAGCAGCCACCTGATGCTGMCTCTTTGGAGCAGCCGCCAGCTGCCACCAGCTCTGGCCCGTGCAACAGCAGCCCAATAAAGTCACTGTCATCTTGGCTTGGCAAAACAACTTGTTCTGCCTCACGACTCACGAATGTTTTTGTTTTTTTTTTCCTCCTTGCCCTGGCTCCTAATTAAAGACATGAATGTAGATAAATATCACGTCAGGATCTAAACTCAGCTGGGTCACCGAAGTGTACAGGGCACCCTGTTCTCCAATTAACCCCTTACGTGAAACAGCTCAATTATAATTAAAGAAGCAATTATCTCCTTGTTGAAGGTGTGGCAAATCACACATTTCATTGCAAAAGTTCACCGAGCTGCTTCTGGCACATTAACTAAGCTTACRTCTCGTGGATGCCCTAATCTATAACCTATTTCAGCGAGCTAATTTGATGAGACTTGGCGTCTCTCCCCGTATTTTTGTACTGCGTGTGCAGTACAATGCTGGCATCTCTCAAGGAACAAATGGAATGAGCTAAGGGATTAATTGCTAGTAATCCTGCCTGTACTGTCAGAGCGTCACAGGACAGGACCCTACAAAGAACAGGAGCCTTCCTGGCAGCTTGAGTTAAGTTTGAGAACACTCATACACAAACCACAGTGGAGGTTTCTGCTGGCAACAGGAAGGGGAATAAAGACAAGATGCACTGAGCAGCAGCAGCAGCTCCCGTGGGAGCTCATCCCGTCACCTTAGCCTCCACCAAGGGAAAAACACAGGAGTCGTGCATGTAGGGCAGAGAGTCTTACAGCCACTTGTGCTTTTGCTCACTCTTATTTCCACCCCAATTTCCTTTTTGCTGCACTCACCTGTGAACTTGCCCCTCTGCCCCCTCAGGTATGTGTAGATATCTCTGTATAATGATGCTTTGAGACCTGCAGCAACACGCTGCAAATCTGGGACAGTCCAAGCTTTGGATTTTCCCTCAAATTCTGTAGGTTCACTGCTAATTTCCCCTTCTGCCTTCCGTATGTGGCAGGTTGCAGCTGGCAATACCGGTGTATTTGAACATACCTTTTTTTATTTGGATCTTGGGCTTTTCTTTACTTTTTTTAGTGGCTGCTGCCTGAGCCTACTTTAATGCTCGAGATACTCTAGTGGATCTGAGGGACTAGTAAAGCGCTGCTTTAAGAGCTTTGCCTGCCAWCTCCATCTTTGTCCTTTTTGCCCTCTGGAGCATCTGTATGCTGCTACGAGGTTCCACTTTCCCATAATAATAAGACCTGCTCTAGCATTGATCCATAAGAGCTTGACATGGATAATTGTGATCAAATATGCTGGGAAATATAAAGCTAAATTCCCTAGCTATTGAAAGGGAAAAGGGCATATGCCTAAATGTAGTCGTTCCCACCACTTGTTAATACCAGGAAGAACAAAAYGGAGAGGGAGAATTCAACCAAAAGGAGAAATAAAACAAGGGGAGTACTCCAGACCCACGATTCTGGCATTCATTAAATGTGCATCTCACACAGTTCCATAGCACAAGCTTTTTCTTCCTGTTCTGTTTTTCAAGCCAGTGATCACTTCTGAAGCCAGCAAATTGAAAAAGCAAAACAAAACTCCGTGCCCAGAACAGGGAAGACTTTGAGGTACTCGCTCACCAAAGCATTTGGAAATATTGCTAACAGCTGCTGCATTTCCATTACCCCGCTCCACTTGGGACACCAGGAATCGAGCCAGTCTTCCTACAGCGTGACAACAACTGCAGTTCACTGCCAGCCCGAGTCCTTTTGCACTTAGTTACCTGTATCATCCTATCAGAAAGTTCCCTGAACAAATAAATGCAGCCTTAAACAAAGAAATCGTTCATCTCCAAATTAAAATAATCGTGTAATCCTTCAACCCACTAAGTTACCTTTCATCCTTCCATATTTTAAAATTTATCTTACTAGCTTCAGCAAGTGGCTGCAATAAAGTGTCACATTAAGGGATTCATATTCATTATCGTTCAGGTCTTTGTTCTTTTAATAGTGTTGGAAAGAATCTACAAAGAGGCTGCATTAGGCTGCTGTCCAATCCGGGTGTTTGATCTCTTTCTGACTTCAAAAGTCAGCAGAGAAAAAAAACCAACGCCGAGAACGGTTCTTCTGAATGTCAGATGGGCTGGATGTGATTTCCGAGCCTGCCAAGTGTTAATTGGTGTCTGCCCCGACCACGGTACAAATAGGATTCGGAGCCAGTTAACATCCAGCCACGGATCCCTGCTACTGGCAAAGCMAGCCGGGATATCAGAGAGCAGGCAACTGCTCTCTAATATCTGCAGCCACTGCTGAACCCGCCGAGGGGCCGGTTGCCCCACACTCACACGAGCTGCCCGTGAGGAGCAGCCTCAGGTGCCAGCAAGGGTTAACTCTCCCCGCCACACACACCATGGGATCTGCACACCAGCCCGCCCCGCTGCAAATACTCCTGTCATGGCACAACAGCCAGCTGATTTGATGCTAAGAAGCAAAGGGGAAAAAAGAATAAGTCGATAAGTTCTAGAGGAAAGACAACTGATTAATATTGTGGTTGTCAGCGAGCTGGCTCAGCAGACCTAAGCACTCTTTACACTTTTGGGGATCTTAACAGTGAAAGAAAACAGCCTAAGGAAAAAGAGAATAGGAGAAATCTTCTATGCTAATTATCCCGTCTGATGTTTGTGGACACTTTGCTGCAATGCTGATTAAATCTAAACTTGGGTTAGGCGGGGAGGTAACACTTTAAGCTTCATCCCCTGAGAAATCAGTCATGAGCACTGAATGACAACCACTTTGCTACTTAGCCATGACAGCCTAACTTATCCTAATGCAAATTGGCAACAGTTTCTTCTGCGCGTGGCAGGGGAAAACCGAGGAGAATTCAGATGGGGGAATTACCGTCATTAACAATCAATTTTTCTCTTAACAGCAGCGGTGGATTTATGATTTCAGAGGCCCCCCTCTACCACAGAGCCCTCCCTCCCGTGGGCAATGAGTTTGAAGCTGTTTCCAGCTAAGGCTGAGAAAGCCCCTGCTGTTGGTGGGTGCACATCTGCCTGGAAGGCCAGGCCCACTCCCTGCCCGTCCTTTGAATGCTGTAAGCAAGCCCAAAAATACACAGAATGGGACGCTAGGTAGGTATGCATGCAGGCATGGGAGGAAAATAACACCTGACAACATTGAAATATCTTTCTTTAAGAATAAGAGGAGGGATAAGAGGCTGGTATCAGCAGGACCCACTAGGTCTGGGTCCCGTAGGCGCCGAATCCAAGGTTGGGATTGGAGATCCCGYGCCTGTGCCCGCTCACCTCCGCCACGGGGATGCCCTCAGGGGGCCGGCACTGCAGCAGCACTTCCTGCTCCAGGGACACTTCTTTCCCCAAGGGCTCCTGCTCAAAAGTCTTCCGGAGATCTGGAGGAGGAGGAGGAGAGAGAACATAATTTAGTGCCGGTATTTATAGCTGGCAATATACGTGAGGTCTGATTCCAATTCTGCACCAAATGTGAGCGATCTCTCCAGGCAGAGAAGAGAGCACACCCATTCCCTGGAAAACAGCACCTTTCCAAAGCAGTGGGACATGTTTCCATTTCATTCAGGTGGCCCAATGTTTCACAGCGGACCCGTTATTTATCCTGTGGCAGCACGTGCGAAGGCGGGGAGGGAACAAGACCTCCCTGTGAAAGTCYGTGGCCAAGCACAGCACCGAGGCCAGAGGAAGTCCTCTCCTCGGGTCATCTCCTTTTGGTGGCCTGGACCAACACAGTACTGCAGAAGCACTAAGAAAATCACAGAAACCCCGGAAACCAAAGCACACGAGCTCAGCTCTTTTAAGCTCACCTCTCCAGCACCACAGAAAGGGTGCAGATGACCCGGACGCCTCCATCCAGCCCCAGCTCAGCCTACGGGACAGCCACACGCTGCGGCTCTTGGACAACTTACCTGGGTGGCAGCAGGGCCTGGGGATGCCCCTCCTTGCACCGGCCGCAGGCTGCAGCAGGGCGATTGCCTTTCCTTTTGCTCTCAGGCCACCCCAATTCCCCAAGCCAGTTAACCGCRTGGCTGCACAAACAGTTGTGCCATGATGGAGATGAACAGTGTGGGGACAATTTAAAAGCCGAATATTTCATATTATGGAGCCATAACCTGAGGCTGAGCTGTAAGCCAGATCACTGGAATGAACCAGCCTACAAATAACCCACCCAATGTGTTATTTTTCACCCAGGCTGCCGCCGAGACCTGATTCAGAGGTGACCCTGCACGCAGCAGCATCGACACAAGCAAAGGGCCCAACGTAGGGCACAAATGGAGGAGGATGGGGACATCTGCCACCATCCTCAGCCCCTCCAAAACCTGCCCTCACATTGCACATGGTCTCTGCTGCAACCCGGGCCAGCAAGGCTAGCAAACCCCCTAACATGCACCTATACCTGACAYCTATAGCCATACAATATACACAACACTATAACTGGTATTGTGCTCTAGCATCTTGGCCGAGTCAAAACGGGAAAGTTGCAAYGTCACTAATGCAGCACACGAGCACGGTAAGGAACAGTTCATTAATAACAGCCTTCGGATGTTTGGAAACAGGGTGATGAGCAACAGCAGAGCTACAGCAGACGAATGATCCTCCAAGGTTTCTCCTTGACGCATCGATCTGCTGGTCTCCGCTTTTCTGAAGCATTAACAGGGCGCTGAAGTTATCTCAGTCACCCCATATGGGCACAGTGATCAGCTCACGCATACAATGTTTTGCTTTAAAAAAAAAAAAAAAACAGTAAACAGCATTATCTCAAAAATGTGTAGTAGTAATAAAAAAAAAGCAGCAGTGCTTTAAAGGCGCCATTGGATTGGAGTGGGTCAATGATCCACAAACTAAAAATACACTAAGTAGATGCCTTGACATAATAGACAGTAATGTCCCCAAAGGAGCCATTGTACACTATTGAGTAAATGATAATCATTACCACAAAGAAAAAAAAAAAAAAAAAMMCCAAACAAAACCCAGCAGTAGATAATAGTGTATTTACAACGTGGGGAGCTCTCAGGGCCGTTTCGGGTGGCAAAGCTGCCCGCCCCTCCTGCAAGCAGCGACCCACAGCCRGCAGCCCCACAGCTGCATGGGGGGCTGGCTGCAAAACACACACCAGTGGCCACTGTGGGTCTCCCCGGACCACGAGGAAATGCAGGGTTGCACAAATAACATCTCCATCTGCTCCTGAGGTGAAAACACTCTGCTGGGGCACTGCTGGCTGCTGAAATCCCTCCTTTCCCTTCGTTTTTCTTTCCCCCAAGACCCCCRCAGGATCAATTTTGTGGATATTTCCTTATAATTCTTCAATCTTCAACTTCCTCTTCGCATTTGGCAATTACAGTCATCATGGCAATTTCCCCCTGTCGCTCACAAGTGGCTCAGTGCAGAGGGACGGTGGATCTTCTCCAAGCACCGTGTTTTGGGAAGGACTTTTCACTTGTTCGAAGCCTCACATAGGTTGCAATTGCTTGTGGTCAGGAACSGCTCAGGAAGCTGCCAGGAACAGGATATGTATTCCCATGGAATGGCAGAAGGCCAATAAAATACAGCCCCATCTGACCTTGCCTTGGGGAKGGGAGACTTGCAGGGAAATCTGCCTCTTTTCTGTGTGTCTGCTAAGGAGAGATGGCTGCGCCCTGAGCTGCGCTGAAATGAGAGGATTTCCACAGATACACGAGTGAAACAGCACAATGGGAAGTCAAAATCTCTGTGTAAATCATATTGTTGCCTTCATTCCTCACTTCCTCTGCTTCTCTGTGGAGAAGGGCATTAGATTTTAGTTTTGATGCACTGCTAAATGACTTAAAATTCAGTTTAATTCATTTGTAGCTTGCAAACAACTTGAAAGTTGCGTTTCTAGCTGCTAAGCCTAACAGCCCCTGTGTGACCTCACGGCATTTCCCCACTTCCTTTTCCAGCTGTCACCTTTGAAGACAGAGCAAAGAACGACCCTCTTCTGCTTCTTAATCACATGTATTTTCTCTCTTTGCTGCTGTTCTGCTCTCTGCCGTGATGGGTGGGTGGGCAAAACTTCAGGGATATCTTTTATCATTTTGGAGAGACGGGATAAGGGCAGGCCAGACGCCTTGAAGGCAGCGCCMGCGCAGGGGTGACTAATGAATGAGCACGAAACACGGACACTTGTCAGCCAGGAATTAGATGTAAGCCAGAAACGAGGTGAACAATGAAGCATTACTGTCAGGGGAAGATGGATTTCTGCCCTTGGTAGACCTTAAAGACTCCGTGCTCTGTTCTCTGCTCTTTCCAGTAACTCCCGCGCCAACTTGCCTTCTCTAACAAACATGCCAGCCATTTAAAAAAATAAATGAGCGAGCTTTAAGCACACGAAAAGCAAAGCCCCATTATTTTCTATCCAGCTTTCATATTARCTACTGCCATTGAGAGAAGTGCATTAGTGCTTTGATGTATGCCTGCAGAGAGGCAACTTTTTGAGTGAAAAATCCTTCACAACGAGTCCCTCTACCCATACATCAAACAGTCTGCTTCATTACCCATGTAAGTGTGGACAGACATCCATGCACAACCAAATATGGGTTGAAAATGCTAGAAAACAGGTAGGCAGGCATGGTATTTTTCTAACCACTGTTAATGGACCAGTGGGTGGATCAGTTACCCGCTCRGGTCTATCTCCAGTGACTGAGAACGTTGTGCAGGGGCAAGATTAATGCTGGAAGAGACCAAAACAGAGCAATAACTGGGGACAAAGAAGAGGGAAAGCTCCACAGATGCTCTGTGAAGCGAAACATGATCTTATGAATCTTAAGGTCGTGTTTATGCTTTTCATTTTCATCATGCTTATGAGAAGCCACCTCGCTGCATTTACTTCCCAAAGTAAATGGGTGACTGATACGGAGCTAGAGAAACGTGAGTAATGTTGCAGAGCCTGGCTGCTCTTCTCCCGTCACTTCCCACAGCTCTGGCGTGACAACAGAGAGACTCCTGTTCCTTCAAGGGGGTGTTAGAGACTGACACATGAATTGCACTCCCAAATCTCGAGACCCAGTGCCACGGGACATCCTTTGGCCTCTGTCCTCTGCTCATGGCCGGGTCTGTGACCTTCATATGGGGATCAGTCGCACTGGTGGATAAGCACTGCAAAGGCTATGTACAAAAATCTCCTTTTTCTTTTTGATTTCACCCTTGTGCAGCTGCAGTTCTTTGTTGCTAATTAGACCCCAGCAGCTTTTCCCCTGAGAGGAGACGGTCGCAGCCGTGTCATCGGTCTGTAACCCAGGAAATCCCTCTGGAACCTCCATTGATCCTTTCAGAAGCGCAGAGATGCCTGTCCAAAATCATGGGGCACACGCAGCGGGGGCCCTCCTGATGTATGTGCCGAATGCCCTTCACTTGCGAGGGCCCAGGCTACTGCACTGCATCGAGCCCAGTCCTCGGGACCACCTCTCTTCTTTTATTCACCGTGTATCTACAGCCCGAGCAGGAGGGAGCCTCAGACTTGTCAGGCTCTGATTCTTCCAGTGGCATCTTCAGCCAAGTGGGAATTGCACCGAGCCTGGAAGGCTCCACAGAGATTGACTGTCGGCACCGCTTCAGGAAAATCACTTGTGTCACTCCAGCCTGAGCTGGTCCAGACAGGGAGAGCCACGTGCTGGGAAGGCAAAATACTCCTCAGCAATACAGCTTCAGGCTGGCCACACGTAAAGCGGACACCTCGCTCAACACATGCAGTTCTGATACATCTGTAAAAACTGCAAACACGTCACCTTTACATGGAATCACTTAGCAAGTGGCTTCCTGTTGTACACACATCCCCCCACCYGCACCTTCTTACATTTTCACTTGATAGTTGAATATTTCTTGATTTTTTAACCAAGATTAACCTGCAAACCAACTTATACACTTGATCTTAGTCGTTTTATCTATTTACTTATTTGGTGATTGAAGATGGAATCTAAATGTCCTGTTTTTCAAATAATTATAAATGTGAATGGCCTGATCTTAAGGGATCCCCTTCTGCATGAGAGGTGGACTGCAGGTAAGGCAGACATTTGAGAGAGTGACCGTGCAGGACAATTTATATGTGAATTTACAACACATACTAGAAGCCTTGTTGTAAATGAGAGACAATTTGTACATCCACCATATTTTGTTACAGTTAGGTCTTCTGATTCACTAATCTCTAGGAGCTGCCTCATCTCCACCAAAACACACATACACTTTTGTTAACTGATCTGTTCMTGACTGCACCTCTCTCTCACGCCTCGACACTGAGCAGACCCTCCTGCTTAGCTGCTCATTTCTGGGCCGTGACGGCCTGGGGAGGATATTCTCAAGGCTCCTATTACGGGATTAAACACATCCAAATTCAGTTAGGGTTTTTCCATTTGTTTCTAAGCAGCATTAGCACTGAGGTCAACGCCCACCTGCATTTATTAAGTCTCTATGCTTAATTACAGAACAACGGGATTTGTACTTATTGCTACCGCAGTCATATCCTGGAGTCTGGGCATCAGCTTGGGAAGCGGAGCGGGATCGGCAGTGATCCCGCTAGATAACTGCGTGCCAGGAATGAATCTGGGAATTTTTTTTCATACCTGGGTCTGTGTATGACTGTATGGCCCCTTGTAGGTGCAGATAATGCACCAGGTGAACTAGCCTGCTCTGCTGTACCACATCTGTCTTACCAGTATACAGTATATGACACGTGTATGTCAGCTCCAATCCTCCAACAAAAATGTCTGGGGAAAAAGGCTTTTGGATGAGTACGCTGGAAACTAGTGTCAAAATATATAAAAGATTAACAAGCACACTTCCTTATAAGTAGGGGCTTTTTAAATGAAAAAGAAAATCACCTGTTTTGTTTTGATTATTCTTATTTTACGCTACTGGGTCAGGGGATAAAAAAAACAGCATATCCAGATTCACTATACCCAAAGYGATTATTCAACAGAAATTACAGAGAAAGCTGCTATTTTCTTACAGGATTTCAACAAATCTAGAGTCCCAAAGCAGACGTAGGGTCTGTATTCTCCTTGCATTTTCTCAAGGACACCCTTGGTCMCCACCACGGAGTGACTGAGGCTACAGCAATACCCAAGTGGAGCAAATGAGAAGTGAGGCCRTTTGTGCACATGGGCTCAAAGCAATTTGTCTTAGCCAGCCCTTTATTACCTGACCTAAAACTTACGTTGAATCCTGCAGCTGTTGTTTTGTCTTTATCTGGAGTATTTTTCCACCAGGTCGAACTGTACTCTTGGCTACACAGGCCCAATTCATCCCTCTAACAGGAATTTTGCCCTGTGAGGTTTTATCTGTTTCACAACAATGCCCTTCTTACATAAAATTCATCTTAACTTACTATATTAGGCTTATTTTTTTTTCCATCTAGAGGTAAAGCCACCTAAACTCTCAACTTCCTCTGTCCACAAAATAAACCGTGTTTTTTTTTTTTTTTTTTTCCCTAATGAAGCAGGAAATCTGAAGTATGAAAACATACTGGTGCCTCCTGCTGCTCCTGAAAGGAGGTACCTAGAATATATAGGAAATGGGAAGATAAGTAGCATATGGGTTTTAGAACTTTCAGGAGCCCATATCTCAAAGTTATGCCATATTTTTCCAGCTCCATCCATGCAGACATTTGGTTTCTCCACTTTGAAACTTATTAAAATACTCTGAATGGCCGAGTGAAAATTAGTTCCAACAAATCCGCTAGTTTGAGAGGATGAAAAGCTCAGCTCCATTCTCATGGGGAGACCAACCTCTCTAGAAAAGGGACTCCGWGAACCCCAAAGAAGCTGGAAATCACGCTGTTTCTGCCACCCATTGACTCCACCCCTGCCAGAATCCTCCTGCATGGAGGGGAAGGATTTCCTGGCGCAGGAAGGGCTCCCAGGAGYGCAGCGCTTCCATAGATGCTCTTAAACATCTTCAAACTCTCTGAGGCAGGACCTTGGATTTCCAATCAGGCTCTTTTGCTCTATATTGCTCTATTCCTCTATATCTTCCTCTATATGTGCCCCCTCTGAAAGCGAGAGGCATCTTCGCTCCTGATTTACGGATGATCCCTTCCCGCACGAGCGAGGCTCTCCACTTGGCTGCCGTTGATTTCCACGGAGAACTTCCACGCCGAGTAGGTTGTTATGTACTCCCTGACACACGCCTGACCCCGCTTTAAACAAACACCAGCCACTTTTCCGGCATGCGCGTTTTTCACACTTCCCAATTACTTCCCAGTTAATTCTATTACACGCTCAGTGAACAGAGAGGCTGGATGCTATTCTTCTGTTGGCCTGTTTTAATGGAGAGCAGGCTCCGGTCCTTGGGAGGACTCTGCAATAACGTCAGGAGTCACAGGGGAAAAGAGAAAGGGAAAGAGAGAGAAAAGGGAGAAAAGAAAGAAAGCGAAAAGGAAGAAAGGAAATGGACAAGGAAAAGGGAAAAAAAGGAGAACAAGAGAGAAGGTAGGAGATAGTAGAGATGATGGGAGGCTTTTTACTTACTGTTCTAGGAATGGCTTGTTATCAAACAAGTTGAGAAGAAATCACCAGGTTTAGCTGTTAAAGCATAACAATTTAATGGAAGCGGAGCACTCCACACGCTCCTCACACTCCTCCCCTTTCCCACAAGTTTCAATGTGCAYTTTTTGTCCCCATGCAAGGCCAACCTGCACTGGTGACACAAAGCTGCAAGTGTCGCTGCAGGCAGAGGTGAGAGCTGGGCTCTTGTGCCCATCTCAAAGCTTGGATGTGCTCAATTTTCCAGACTAACAAATGCTGCAGGGCCCCCTGGCTGCATGGCAGTGCCTTGGGAAAGCAAAGGGCACCGTGCAGCCTTCGGCAGCCTTGGCAGGTGCATTTTAGGCTTAGACTGGACTTGGACATTACCTTGACAATCCAGACCCAGTCCTCTCAAACCAAGGTGTGTATAGATGAAYGCTGCCCTATGTGGGTGCTCAGCTCAAAGCAGGGATTTTCTGGACAATAATGACATCGGGTGAGGCTCCTGCCACACAGCATATGCCTGAATTCCAAAAATACGTCCCGAGTCTGCTCTTAAAAGGCCTAACATTTCAGCTCCCAAAGAGTCAAGCTGACTAGCCCGATCACAGCTGTCTAAGGAACGAAAGGCAAAACCAGCAGAAAAGACAAAAAAAAAGAATTACTCAAAAAAAACAAAGCATTTTTGAGTTACAGGTACATAAAACTCCAGGATTTCTTAAATTAGATTGCTCCAAATTAGATTGCCCCAGGACCCTGCAAAAATTACAAAGGTAATCATTCCTTTCTCTCCAAAATGTGGTAAGAAAAACAAGCAAGTTCTAAATCATCAGCTTCTTCAAAAGAAATTTGGGTTGATACCATTAATAGACACACTGGAAGAAATGTCAATGGATGCAAAACAGCTTACATACACATACATTGCCATATGCAGTACATATAAATAAAGCACGTAGGTATGGCAGCTCACAGAACTTAAGTACCCATCTAATATCCCTTCATTATCTTCAAGTGAAATTCAATCAGACTTTTAAACGGAGTCAATTCAGTGGTCATCTGCTAAGGCCTAACTGGCAGGACATGCAAATCTACTTAAYGAATTAACTTAGGGCTCACAACATAACAATATCTCCAGACGTTGATAGACCTCTCAGAAGTGCTAAMTAATGTTTAGAAGAATTTCAGAATTTCTCTCTCAGAATTTCTCTCTTTTGTTCCAGTACAGAAAAATAAAATGCCCAAACTCCTCCATCCGTATCTAGGTACTTACATGAAAGTTAACCAGGCTTAGAGGATTTCACCCTGTGATACTTTCCACTGATTAAGGCCAAAACCAGGATCAAGATCTAAATGGACAGCTTTGAGTAAGATCCAGTCCCTTTCTTGGTGTGTCTGTGCAAAACRTTAATTTTACTGGAGGAATTCTCTTCTCTCATTATAATACTAGGCCCCTTGCAGGAAATGGAASTATGCTGCAAATCTAATGAGATTTCCCCACAAATTGTGTTTTTGCTGATGTGAAAACAGTGGAAGAGGGAGAATTACGGTCTCCCTTGTACAAGGGAGGATCTCATCATGCGAAAGAGAAATAGGAGGCCCCAGCGYGACTGTCCTATTTCAAAGAAGAGCTCCTCCTGGAAAAAAATTAATGCACGTTCAATATTTGTACAGTCAAATGAAGATCTGTTTTCAGGGAATTGGCTGCCCTGTCTTTTGCGTGGGGCTCAGTTCAGAGTGGTTCAAGATACACCCTGGGGTTAGCAAAGATGAGCAACAGAGATGTAGATGATGAAGGGTTGAGACGAGCGCTCTCAGTGTCGGCCAACCAGCTGGATCCATGYGAATCCCCCGCCCCTCAGATTCCCGGGAAAAGCAGTGGGATTCCAGGGAGAAGGCCCGTGCAGGGCCGGGTACTCACAGGCGATGCGGACGTAGGCTTTGCGGCTCTTGGTGGTGCCGGCGGAGCTCCAGGCCACGCACTGGCACCAGTAATCCTCGGGCCCGAAGAGCTCCTCCACCTGCTGCCGGGACACCTCGATGCTCACCTCGCGCACGATGAGACCTGCCGCGGGGCGAGGGACACACATCAGTGCTCGCAAACACGACAACACGCACACACGACATGCTGCTCCGTTCATGTATTGCATGCTAAATGCATGTGGCGCGTGGCTTTGCGCACAAGAAATGGCTTTGCATGGGGTGTTAATTCCTTGTTAATTCCCCATCGATATCTACCTAGAAACCTGGACCACGATAGGGATGTGGGGGGAAAAAAAAGAAAAAAAACCCGACAATTTTATCTGCATACTAAGAGAAGTGGGTGAATGAAAAACTACCCCTTGTCACTGTGACTTTTATCACAGGCCGTGGGAATGTCAGACAAACAGGAGGACAAGCACCTCGGCTGATATAAATGGCACCACGTCCGCAGGACAATCTACATCAAGTGACAATCCAGCCCAGTTTTATTTCCGTATGAATATCATAAAATCACAGAATCATTTGACTTACACGGATCCCTCAGCCCRCCCGTATTTCATCTCTTTTTGCTAGACAGCCGCCCCACGGGGAGAGCTCTTGCTCTGTAACGAAGGGCTCAGCTGCTGCACGGCCCTTCCTGCAAGCGCTCAGCCCGGGGTCCCTACCGTCCCACTCACTGCAGACACCACAGTGCATTTTAGAAGGTTTTTGCAAAGCAGTGCAACACGTTTCAGTGCTTGAGGGTGTCCCCAGCCTGGCCCTCAGGCACCCCAGGGTTCTGCCTCCCCTAAGTGCAAGGAAACACCCCGGATACCCCTGCAAGCACCGCCAGTGACGGGCTGATATTCTGCCTTTGCATTTCATACCCACACCATCCCTCTCTCTGCCTCAGAAACCACRGCCCGGGTCTAAGTGCATTTGCCTGCACCGTCCAAACTTGATTTGCATTCAGCACTTCGAGAGCTGCTTCTCGGGTATGGATACCAACATATGTCTAATTTGGGTCTAATTTTCACCACCAGATAAGTGTACAATTTGGGTCTAATTATCACCACTCTATTTCAGGCAATAGGAAGACAGYGGAAAGCGGAGCTTTAAAATGAAAATGGAGAAAATCGAAGTAATTTAAAGCAATTTTCCAAAACAATTGGTAATTGTACTTATGACTGTGCACTGGAAAAAACACAAATTCTTAAAAACGCATTCCTAGCTCGGTGGACCCTTTCTGCACAAGAGTTTCTTGTCAAAGGAACTTAGTGAACAGCCACGGGTTTCCCAAGACAGACRCAATGTCAGGAGTTTTAAAACTTGAGTAAGGAGCCCCCAAAGTAGCTGCTGGGGGAGTCATAGGGGGAAAGTCACGAAGGCTGCTCCGTGCAGGGGGGATTTATACCTAAAGATGCGTTCCAGAGAAAAAGGAGGACGCCCAGCTCAGCCCAGGGAGAGGTGTCGGAAGGGAATGACAGTCCCTCCTGGAGCAAAGGAGTGTGAGGAGCGAAGCGTGGGCCACACACGGACCCTTCCATATCGGTTGGGCCCTGGGACAGACACTCACTTCATGCACATGGACCCCAAGCGCTCCCCCCCTTAACTGGCTGCACGACGGATAATCTGCTCTTCAGGGGTGGAAGTGGCATCTTCTTTAATGTATGCAAATGTAAGGTAATTGTATGGTATTATGGCACGTTATTACTCACTGCCACGGCAATTTGTGGGCTCCATATTCCACCCACCGCAACAACTGGCAAACTTCCCAATGATTTTAATAGCAGTAGGTTTGCCAGTAAGGATATGGAAATGTCGTATAGGGCTCTGCAGCTGGATGTGACAGCTCATGGCAAGGAATGATCGCTGTAACCATTTGAAAATGTAGGAAAAATTCAATTAATCAGATGCAATTATCCCACCTGGAGTCAGCCCAGGTCAGAGAATTAATGGTATCTGCACCTCAACGGGCATCTTTGTGCCAAGAAACTGGTGCGATGCTTTTTGGCTGCCACAAACATTAGGTGTTTTATATTAATAACCTGTACGGATGAAAATCTTCTTCAGGACTTTGAAGGAGCAATTCTCCTGTCACACTGGCACGTGTGCTTCCGCGTGCTAAGAAACTGGATGGATAATTTATTCCCTCTGCACGTGGAAACGCAAATAGCGCTTGCGCTTCCATTTGCCCAAAGGGCATTTCATTAATTAGCAATCTCTTTTGCCGAAGCCGACAGAACTTCATGCCCAGCTGCTCTGGAAAAAGGCAGCGTTGTCATAGGTGTGTATGGGCTGCAGGGGCAAAGATGGATGCACAGGTACCCTGTTTTCACACCCTGCAACCCTCTACAAGTTCCATTTCTTGAAATCCCTACTCAGAGCATCCCCCCAGGATTTGCTGCCCCTACTCTCAGCCTTGCAGCACTAGGAAGGGTGTTTTGGGGTGAAACAAGAGGCTTTTTGCAGCAMAACAACTAGGGTTGGCAGGACCTCTCTGCATGTGCACGTAGCACCCTCTAGCAGAGCATCAAATCTGATGGTACCGAGCTTAGGGCTGCATGGAGGAAAACACGGCAATTACACAATCAAATCCTCTTTTCATACACTGGGAAAAACACAGTGATTTGCCCAGCCTTAAAATAAATCAGTGCCAGTCGAAACAGTCTACGCTTTCTGACTCACAGCTCCTCTTTCTGACTATTAGGAATAAGATAGGTGAGTGAATGCTTTGTGAAAATTGCTCACTTGGTACATATTTTAGTGATATAAATAGACATACTTTTTAGTGTAAGGTGAGGGTGGAAAAAGAATCCTGAAGCCGAAAAATAAAACGGGAATTTTGCAGGAATTTTAGGAGGGGCTGGATTATCTCCCCAGTACTTGGCAAACATTGGGAAAAAAAAAAACAAAATTTTTTTTTGCTTCATGGACGTGACCAAGACTATAGACCAGAGTGGTGCGTCCACGGACACAAGAAGGAAAAGTCACCTGGACTGCTTTCTCTCCATGCACCTTATTACTCTCTGAAGGTAAAACTTAAGTGACCCAAGCCAGGAATGATGATGTTTCTACTTTGCAATAATCCAGAATTACCTGTCTTGATTCATTAAATTGCACAGCACAGGTGCCGTAAAGAGCCTGTCTCCGTAATATGAGGCTCATTACTCTACTCAGTGAAACAACCTTTTTACAAAGGTAAAAATAAAATCAGGGCTGTGTCAGAATGAGAAGTTATTTACACCCTTGCAGAGATGGAACCCTCACAGTCACGGAGTAATTCTCTTCAAATGTAGCTGAGTACTTATGCTATGGAATTGGGTGTTTTAAAAATGAATAAATGGGCCGTGCACAAGAAGAATGGCTTCAAATATAAAAGTTCCTGCTGAGAAAAAATGTTCTCTGTGCATCTTAATGCGAGAGAAATGATTGCATAACGGCACACTTTGTGTATATCTTATTTTCTATATACAGTAGCAGCAATCTTCACAAAAGACAGAGAGACAGATAGCTATCTAGAGATATTTTAAAAAAGGAAAACAACTTTTAAGAGCCAGTAATCCTTCACGCTGTGATTGCACGCACCTGCTTTTGCCTCGGCATCGCTTCTCCGTAAATTATGGCTGGCTGGCGGTATGAAAACCCTGCATGAGCAACGCAAACAACTTCCCCACAAATACCAGTTTACGTTAGTTTGCACCACCTAGCCAGCTACGGCCGCTAATTACCAGTCAGTGAGCTAAGCTAAAATGCTGAGTCCCCTATTATTTTTACCTGACCTACATGCTCTGTGACAATTACAAAGCCCTGCTTTGTGGAAGAATCTTGCTTTGAACTGGAGTTGAGCGCCACGCGTTCTGCTTGAGCCTTGCTTGCTCTTTGATCCATCCCCAGGAAYGCCTGGAGAACCAAGCTGGGCATGAGGAAACCTGGATATCTGTGTCGTGGTCCCCTGGCACGGTGGTGGTGGCCTGGGGGGCTGCCTTGAACCACCCTTCAGGACAATGTGGCCTTGCTTGCAGTCACCCCACGAACAGCTCAGTCCAAGCCCTGTTTGGTGGAGGCAYGTGCGGCTGGGAAAACATTGTTTTTTTAAAAGAAAGGGGAAAAAAAAACCCAAACAACCCCGCCAGAGGTTCATGTTTTACATAAAGCTGCGGATGAGACTTCACAAAGGGAAATCTGTGCACTTTTTACTTCTGGTTCAGAGGATTTACATGCTCTTTCTAACGATCTGGGCCGTCAGCGGTGGGTAATGCTTCCCAGGCCTCAGCTTAGTGCTCATGCAAAATTGAAGCACTTTGGAGGCTGTTTAGAGCTTGTGGATGAATCTCAACGCGCAGGCAAAAAGGAATAATGGTTGTTTAGCACTTCAGCTAGAAGRAGCCGAGAAAATTATGRAAAAAAAAAAAAAAAAAGAAATCTATTGAACTTCAAACATCTGTGAAGCTGACGGAGAACATCTGAATTTCGAGCAGCGTGTTTACATTCCCTTTGCACCACACGGTGATGGGAGAAATTAAGAACGGCTTTATGCACGCTTTAAAAAATACACATATATCTGTTGGTTTTTTTTAAGGAACTGACACATCCCTATGAGGACAGCACCGTGCAGGGACAGCGGGAATGTGGCTGCTCCAGCCAAGCAGGGGTGCTGCGATGCTGGCACCTCTTCACAGCTCTCGGAGTGTGGGGGAAAATGCTAGAGGAGGCAGCACCGGCGCCGCTCCGGCTCCGGAGCGAGGCCGAGCGCGATGTGACACAAGGGGTCACTACGGAGCCTTCTTCGGCTCACACGCCCCTTCGAGGGAAAGGCAGCACCATTTTACCTCACGGGGCMTGGCCGCCGCCTGCCCGCACTTTGTGTGCGGCCTCTCGCAGCCAGCCTGGGCATCCCGCAGAACCCGTACGCACAGGCAGGGAAGGCGAGTGGCYTTCGGAGGGGCTCTGTGCCTCGCGTGGGAGCACGGAACGGCGGCTGGGTGCTCGGAGGAGCTGCGGTGTGTCTGTGTGCCCGGCCAGGCCTGGCCGCCATGTCGTCACCCACAGCACGGCGCTGAGCGCGTGCCAGAAGCATCCAGAAGCCTTCGGCGCGACGGA